TAGTAATCTTTTATACTAATTTATTTCTCTATTTACTTCTCCTTGACTTCAAAAATATACTCCTTGTTTTATTTTCCTTTTGTGTTAGGCATAAGATAAGACAGTCGATCAGCAAATTATTTGTAGAGTACACGGTCTTTATCGACATTTTTCACAGTCGATTAGTTCATTCAACTGTAGTGTCGATCGGTTTTCTTTCTGGAAACAAGACAAATCGGCTGCATAAATTGAATTTTTACTTAAAAACCATCAATCCACTCAAACCTAAATGAGCAAAACAGTCGTCCAGTGTTTAGATCACTCTGATGTGGCCAGCGAAATCTACGGATGAACCCAAGTGGTTTCTAACTAATCATATTGTGCATTAGTATATAACATGAAAGTAAACTGGAAAACAGGTTATGAAAATCGTACCACAATATACTAAATTCGCTTTTATCCCTTGGTTGCATGTTTTTCATGCACTACTGATTGATTTCAGGTATAAAGTGGATATAAATGCAAGTTTGCTGGAAAAAACCTCAACAAATAAGCATCAGTCAACATAAATCTTCCCATGAATTCGCTGATAGTAGACATTATCGGAAGCATAATCTCATAAAACTTTCGGATTTCAACTTCCCACCAGTACGTAGTGTGACTTCTTTTTTTATCAACAAGGTTCGGTTTTAGTATAACTGCTTGTTTTACACCGTCGATGATTGGATCAAACTAATCAGTCTCTATTGGAATATTGACTCTTGTGCGGATGCCTCGATATCACCTCTGTACTAATTATAGTTGTGATGGATAGTGGCTAGCAGTGGAATCCAGGATGTGCACTTCGTCCTATTTGAGACTCGGAGGCTGGATGCACATGTCTCCCAGTGTGTGTTGTTTCCAGTGGGATTCGAACTCGGGACCGACAGCTTCAAACTCCATCGCGTTGTCCACTACACTGCCGATCCAATATTTTGTGCGACAGGTATAGTTTTAGTATAATTGCTTGTATTATAGAATTCCCAAACAGTACGAAATGCGTATCCTGGATTCCACTGTTAGCCACTATCCATCTTTACTATATGGTTCAGTTTTGTTTAACAATTTTCACTTTCAGTTAGGTAGATCATATAATAAAAAAGGAAGAGGAAAATAAAATTGATACAAGCTTTCATCAGTGCAACTGACATTAACAAAGGTTTTGTTACATTCCTTAGGAAAATAAGAAAATTTCCTGTAACAAAGGAATAATATCTAGTGAACAATCTCGTTACTTTGAGTCACAAATATATCTTACTTCATACAGAACTTGTAGTAAATATTCCAGCTGTTTTTCTAGGTGGTAATGTGAATGCTGGAATTTTTGATGTCATAATAATACTTAATAGTTTACTTCTGGTCTTTAGCATGAAAAAACAGTTTTGTTACAAGTAATTTACGCTGCTGAATACGTGAAACACAAACGCACGTAAATAGCATTGCAAATGCCTTATTCAGTTGATATATTTATCCGTCTGCTTGTTAATATTAATATTAATTTGGGTTTCAGTACTTAGATTTCTACACCAGTCTGTTTGGATTATTCGATATGAAATTTCGCATTTCCCTTGTTTCTTTAAACTTTTCACACTACAATCCATTCGTATTTCATCTTCAGTAGTAATTTGTACAGACAAATTGGTAGACTGGCTATATGACCTTCCTCAGGTCCTATATTTGCAGATATATTCCTATCATAATTGGAAAATAGTCCTATGAAAGGTCAAATTACCAATATAGAGTTTTACTATCCATATATAGATGATATTTGTACAGTCTTTGATAAGTGCAAATGCATTAGTTCGATACTGAGTCAGTTCAACAAAGCTCATTCATCAGCTTATTTTATTTATGAAAACAAAATCATTGCCTCCATACATTTTTGATTTGCTAATGACAAGAAGAGATCGCTGAGAGATAAATATACAAAACTGGTGATTACGGCGTAGTCTACAGGTTTTTTTCAGCTACGTGTCCATTAAGTACAAACATAATATAATCAGGTGTCTAGCAACCAGAGTGAGGTCGATGTTTTCCAAGGTGTATAGAAAAGGATTTACTGTGTATCCATGACATTCTAAGTAAAATCGGACATCCTGAAAAGTTCATCAAAGCAAACATAACTTACATCGATCCCAAACGAGAATTGATAACGATGAAGAAGCCCTTGTCTCTGTGACAAAAGCTCAAGGGAGACATTCGAAATGACATTGTATCCCAAAGTCTAGGTAGATCAGTTAGTTCAGTGTTTTACACAGGTCTTTGTTGCCAATCTTTCATTAGTCAGCCAATGTTCAATCCAAGACTAAATGATAGTCTACTAATCTTGGCTCTTCATTTTGTATATATCAGTTTAACTATTCAAACGTTTCAAATTATGTATGGTGTCTGATTAGGCAAATGCATCTCCGGAAACAGGAACATTTACCGGCTTGGTTTGGTGAATCAAAAGTAGTGAAAAGTACTGCTTTAGAACACCTAGTAAACACATGACATCACACATGTGCTCACGGAGCTTTCAATGAAATACATCGTTTTCCAGAAACAACATCATGTTCTCCTCACCAACAACTGCCCAACATAGCCGAGGCTATCACAATAAAACTGATCGAACTTGGATTTCGCATGTTCAAACCTCATTCTTCCTTTGACCTCTAGTAAACTAACGGCTATTCCTTTCTTCCTTATTTGTTGTCCTTTATTTTACTATCGCATTCTTCGTCTGTAAGAACGTCATCTCAGTATGAGGAAAAAGAGAAAAATCTATCTCTTTACAATCCAGAATTCTAATTCCACTTTTAAATTATATTTCACTCAAAGTTGGTTGGTTTTTCCACTGTAAAATTGCATTTTATTACTGCAGAGCCTGATGAGAACTTATTGAACAGAAATATTTTTGTTCAGCTTGTTTGTATTGTTGTTATAAAAATCTTTAAATGTTTAAAATCAATAGTTATTCGGTAATCTACTAACTAATGCACTTCATTGATACATGATAGAGGATGCTAAGCGTTCAAAATGCTTGCAAACGATTTAGTAAAATTCATTGCATGATGAAGTTCAATTTTTTGATCGTGATTTCAAACCATTTAGTAAAATTTAATTAGGTTTTGCGTGCAAAGTGGTTGTACATTAAGAAAATTGGACTGCCGGTATCCGGAATGTAGCCATTTAAGCTTAATATGACAGTCTAGATTAATAATACTACAATAAATGAAGATATTCATTAAAATTATGCTCAAAATTACTTATTTTACACACTGGTTGGACGGAGTAATAATCATTAACGTCAATCACGCCATATATAGCTTACACAACAACATGTCGGATACTGTTAGCGAAAAAATTGTATGAGAAAAGTAATAATACTTAGGATGTTATTGTGTACCGTAGTCTGTGATTACATTATGGTAGGTAACATCGTAATTGATGCAACATTAATTTGAAGAAAAGTGATAAGAGACACTTGATCGAGAGGTTTATTTTGCTAAAACGTTATAGGAAAAGTGTTTGTTACTAGTGGTTTAGTATTAAAGTGAATTCTTTTCACTGTTTTGAATATAGAGTAACGAAAATAGCTAGCAGAAGTGAACTTCAAAATTAATGCAGATTTAGCGTCATTGTGCATTGGCGTCAGTTCTAACACTTCTTCAACCATCATTTCCTATTTAATATTCGCCAGTTAGTAGCTTAGAAACAAGTAAGGTTATACTAAGCCTGTGCATTATCTTTCCTTTTTTATCGAGTACTTTTCATTCATCAGGATGCTGGATAGGACTTAACCTGTGTTACAGTATTTACATGATTTACTTACGATACATGTGGGAATTGTATTGAATTAGTAGAATGTAGTAGCCACTTTCATAAATCGACTTTTACAGTCTATCAAATAAAAACAACTGATAACAGACTATCAGGATTTTTGGAAGGTGCAGTGATGCATTAAGATGAATATTAGCAACATTTTACAAAGCTTCATAAATCCGAAAACTGTCATTCATTTCACTCAAATGTACACATTAGATAATGAGTAATCAACGAAGTTACTAAATAGATATTTTTTTTTCTGAATAATTTCAAGGAAATTGGTATTTAATGTTTCATTTGATAACCACCTGGTGAATGAATTCTGTATCCTATATTTATCTCTAATCAATAATCACCCTGGGATGTAACTGGCAATATCATCTCTAAGCGAATTTTAGAATGAATATTCAATTTTTAATAAAACATCAGGTGGTTAAACAATACTATTTACTGAACAGAGTGTAATAAACAAATCGTTTGAAATCTTATCCTATAACAACTCGTTTATTAGCAAGTGTAGGTTGTCTTTACTAAATAAGACCAGAACACGATATGAAATGTATCATATATATATCTTCTATAATGTGTTTACGGAATGAAACGTTTTCGAATAAAATAATAATCACCCTACACTCAGAATCAGGAAAATTTAGGCGAAAATAATGTTATAACCAAGAAATATGAACAATTATCTTCTATTCAGTCTGTAAAGGAATAATTTCTTCAGTATAATAGGTAACGTTCTGGTTTTATAGTGGGAAACAATGGAAAAAAAATGGACACATGATAATTTGAACAAATATGAAATACTCTGTAATGTAAGAGTAGAACTTAGGCACTGGGGTAGATTGCAATTTCATTTTAGTCTATTTATTAGAAATGTCAGACAGTGAAAAGTTATCTGGCAAATTATATTGTTTCACTGTATGAAATTTCTAATGATCAGACTAAATTGAAAGATTCTGTTCTTATCTTTCGTAATCTATTTAGTCGAATTCTTCGTTTTCTGCCGTCATTTTTGTGAACTAGTGGAAATGTATGTTTGCAAAGTCATAAGTTTAGTTGCTTAGTGGATACTAAAAATGTTTGAAGAATTAATTTTTCCAATTTACATATATATAAAGAGAGGGAGAGAAAGAGAGATGAACGGAAAGAAACCGAGATAATCATTCACTTCAATAAACAATATTCGTTTTCTTGGAACTCTGATGTTTTTTATTAAACCAATCACGAATTCGCCTAAGTAAGCGAACAGGATAGAGACCATGGTCATTTTCTTCATCAGAGTTGACTTCCTTTTCAATAGCTCGTCCAGCTCTTCGATTTTCCCAGTTTGCTACAATCACCAATGGGAAACATAGTACACCTGAGAGTATGACTGATAATCCACCGAGGATGAAGATCAAATCAAAGTTTTTGTTCTGATCGTACAATGCACCTGTAAAAAAAATTATGGTTTTATCAACAAAAACGACAGACAATTAGAAAACTAAGCTGTCCTATTCACTAATAACAATCTTTTACAATCAACGATGGAAAATTACAAGCATCGACATAAAAACTATACCCGTCGTACAACAACTGCTTCTTGTGGCTCATCGGCCTAGTCGATAACGCTGTGACTTTTGTAGCGCTTCGTCCTTGGTTTGTCTTGGCGAAAATAACATCACTCAATGGGAGGCAGGTACACCTAGCTAACAAGTCACAGATAGGACGAAGAGTGGGTCCTAAATTCCACTGCTAGCCATTATTTTTCATTACTTCAATAAGTGAAAAATCCTTAACCCCAAGAATTAACAAGCAAGATGAGTTGTGTTAATTTTATGAAAGAGTATCACTTTTTAAATAAATTTATAATTTATACATGTTGTTCGCTCCATTACTTCATCTTGAAAATGTGCATGTGTAGCATGGAAAAACTGGAATGAAACATTTCTTCTGGCTACAAAACTTTATTTATTTATCATCAAACCTGAATCAGCTAAGCGTAATTTATTACACCATCACAAAAATAGTTTTGAAAAAAAAGAGACTTCTTTGCCGGTATGTAGCATGCAATTTATGCTCTAATGGCAAATTGTTTTTGCAGTTGAAAAGTTATTATTTGAACTTTACAAAAATCATACAAGCAAAGATCATGACTAAGCAAAAATAAATTCTGATGATTTCCCCCTGTTGATGATATGTACATGAAGTTGGCTGTTTCTGATCTATGTAAGTATTTGTAAAGTTGGCTTCATCATATCCACATCTTGCTTAGTTGTCAGGACAGGAGTCTCACACACTAGTTATATGAGTTTAGTTAAATCTGAAAATTCTAAACCATTATCTTATCCAGTGTACACAAGTTTTTCAACTCTTATACCTTGGTTCAGTGTTTTACATTATCGTAAAAGTTTTTATTAAAAGGTGACGAATTACAAGTATTCCTATGTCTTATGATTGAGTTTGGAAGCTGGATGGTGTTTACAGCTGGGTTTAGCGAATGAACTCTAGAAGAGGTCTTTGTAGTCAGCTTTATAAGAGCATTCAAACTTGTATTACACACTTAAGTGGTACAGGAAGTAAGTTTGAGCTTTAAGTATACAACAACCTATCAATATGAAATTCATTTTCAGATAACAGAGTAGAGATACTCAATAAACATCACATTTTCTGCACTATTTTACTAACTGACATATTGAGTATATAAAAATTGGCTCTCCTGTTAACCAGCTTAATCAGTTGCCTTTACTCTCCAATTTTCAGAGTGTATAATTTTCATTGAGATGTATTTATCCGACTTTTGTTCTCCTGGAGGTCTGATAGCGAATTTCTCCAGTTAAACCCTAGAGAAAAGTTACCTTTACACTGTAAGTCGGGCATTAATCATGCACATCAGCGTACTATATTGGCTCTTGGATCTAAGTAGTACCTAACTTCTAAGAAATTCTAACACTTTTGAAGACTTTGAGCACCACAACTGGCCCAAATGTATTACTGACAACTGTTAAAAAAAGTGATTAACAGTTTTCTGAAATAATGCGAATTGATGCATTATTATAGACCTGTTCCTGTGGAACAAGTTGATTAAAGCCTACCATGAGACAAGTGCCTCTCCACATACAAGAACATTTATCGGCTTAGTTCGAAAAAGACGAAGTGAAAGTGATAAAAAGTTCTATCCTACTGCATCTAGTAGACACAAGGTATCAGACAAATGCTAATAAAGCTTTCAATGTCGTACATCGTATTCCAAAAACAATACCACGTTTAGCTCATCCACATCTGCTCAACGTAGCCAAGGTTGTCACAATAAAATTGATCGAATTTGAACTAAACATTTGAAATGACCATTTCAAACGTACTTTCTCCCTTGGCCTTCAGTAAACTAAAAGCTGTTCCTGTCCTCTTTATTCCTTTGTCGTTTTGTTCAACATCGCATTATTCATATATATATATATATATATATATATATATATATATATATATATATATATATATATATAATCCTTATATTGACAAATTAAAAAAGAAAAATCAACTCCCTTACAGTTTTTTAACCTCACTCCATTTTTAAAATGTATTTGCCTCTAATTTGGCTTGATTTCACACTGTATACATACATTCCTTTAATGTACAACCTGATGACAATTTATTGAAAAGAACATTCTTCCTTCAGATTGTTGCTTTTCATTATAATATTAAAGGTATACACCATGAAAGCTGTCGAGCATTTTCTTGAGAAAGTCAATTTCAGTCCAGTCAAATTATTCTGATGTATAATTTCTGACATACTAAATATGAATTCAGTCTAAATCGTAAATAAAGCAGATAAGCGTAGATCTTTATTAAGTCAGCTCACGCTATCATATGACTACTTTATAATAAACGATTATACTCATGAACATCTCAACCACATGAGTCCTAGAGGTCTTGCAAAAACGCAAGTACCATTTCATTCCAACAGTATATCATAAGAGAAATACTCACCGAAGGCAGGAGGAGCTCCAATGAATGCAAATGCTTGGAATAATAACATAAATCCAAAAGCATTGGTTAATCGATCTAAACCCAAAACTTGGACAATGAGTATAGTACGTACAGATATGAATGCAGCTGTCGAAAAGAAAGGCATATGGATAAAGTGATTTAACAAAGACAAACCGAGAAATTCTACACTAATTCTGATAGACAAACAGATAAATCAATATAGAACTTCGCACAGAAGTACATTGGTTTAATTGCCACACGTCATAACAACATGCAAAAAACAAGAGTAAAAAAGCAGTGATATTAGAGTAGATTAAGTTGTAAGCTAGGAAAAAAAAATCAAAAAAACGAAAGTTAGAGAAAATATTCATACCTTGGAAGACATCAAAGAGTGAATAAATCTGTGCTACTGTGACCGATCTTTATTTATCTCTCCAACAGATTCCAACTACTGATTTTCAACATCTTTAGAACACCAGTTGGACAGTCGACTTAACAGTCAGACAATTTGTTACTTGGTGCTACGTCTTGGTCTGGTCACCTAGAATATTTTCTCAACATAATTTTACTTCGGCTAGTTTTCAGGTCGTGGTAGGCCGTGGCTCGACATGTACAATGCTTTTCCAAATCGCCGCAGTCACTGAAGCTTCATAACTTTATCGACTGACCTGACGGCCTTGGATAGTACCTTTCGCCTAATTTCAATTTGCTAACGTAATGACTCCAACATACATGAACAATGTTATGAAGACACCCTATGATGAAAACCTGTAACCACCACATCTATTTCCAACGGTCATGTCTCACAGCCGTATAACATGAAAAAATCGACTGCAGTACGGTATACGCATCCTTTGCCAGTTAGTCATATCGCTCGCCAACGCCAGAGATGATGCCAGATGGCGAATGTCAAACGAGGCTTCTGTATCTAAGCTGAGATTTCGTCAGCAGTCAACCCATTCAGGCTAGTGCGATTCCCAAGTAAGTAAAGTTGGTGGCACTTTTTACCACTTCATAACCTATTATTAGACTAGGCAGAAGTAGGTACATTCCAGTCTTGAAGCATTACCTTACATTTGACAGGTGCCATCAAGACGCATGTCACACATATTCATATCTCAGCTCAGCGCGGGTGGAAGGTTCTGCATTTTGCCAGCATCTTAACCAAGCAAGAAAATATCGCCTGCCTACCCTAAGTTAACCAGATGACTTCCAGAGTGTGAGTCAGTCTTTTTTAGGGTTATGTCAGCTCATAGATCTATAACGAAATATGCAGGAATGGTGACAACGATTATCTCTGGCGAATACCACTTGTTGTTATGGATTTATATAACACCTTTCCATAAGCCTTTATAAGGCTGCTTCAAATCGAGTAGCGAGCTTTGATTCGCATGATATGTTAACTCAGTGCTTCCTTCACAGTCAGACACTGTTACAACAGCCAAATGTCACCTTAAGGTTGAAAAATATGGTGTCAGCCACCGACAAACATACCTGTGCTGCAAAACCTGAAGAAGGGAAAAAATATGATTGATACACCCTCGTACAAGTCTGCAACATGCCCGGTTTTCTCCAGTTTGATGTTCTCCAGCTCCAGTTAGGCGTCGGACAACTATGAACTCAAGAATCTTGGACCAGATGTTAGTGAAACCTGTTCCCTTATAGTTGTCATCAGAAAAAGTCCTTCCTTTTTTAGAAATTGAAGTGAATAGTGATTTAGACGAGTCTGACACGACTACCTCCGATTCCCATAAAATGCCTAGTACCTCCGTTTCTCTACTCAGTAATTTTCTATGAACATACATAAAAGTTTCGGGTAACAGAACACTAGGTCCTGCTACTTTACATTGTTTCATTTTCAAAACGACCTTACTAACTTTGAGGAGATTTGAAGGACTGACATCCGTGTTCATATCCCATATCCACAATAGACATCCCCTACAATGAAGTTTGAATACTGTCACAATGGAGAAAACGTTATCGCTAAAAGATACTTTTGATCCACCATATACATATACACTCTTATTAAATGCCCCTATACTTATAGAAATAAACTCGGAAAATAAGAATAATTTCTTTAAAAAGCAAATCGAAGAAATCACTTTCGTATATGGAAAGCCAACAAAACGTGAAACTATTTATTACTTTTGTGATATAACTCTGAAACCACGACTAAGTGTTGAAACTCAATCTTATAAGTACTATTTGAAAAAGTAGATGATTGCAATTTTTATCCAAAACTTGTTATTACCAAAAACGAAGTTTTAACTGCTAGAATGAATTACACCTCCTTTGAAAATATTTTGGAGAGACTATTTCTTAGGGAGAAGCAAAACATGCAAGATATGAAGCGCAAAAGAATAAAATATACTTCAGCTTTTTCAAAAAAAACAGTTTATTTCATAGATCATTACATATAGCCCCTTGTTGTTTGCACTAGCTCATAATGCAGGATGCTGATTGGAACTTATCGGAATGTGACGGATTCATGAGGCTTTACTTTGTCACTTGTTTTTTAGACAAATAATTTTCAAGAAGTTTTGTTTTTACACCCATTGTAATCTAAAGTATGTAAAGTAATTGTAGCGTACACATTTAAATGCTATAATATTTTACATATCTATTTGCTAGGTAAACAACACTACATGGTTATAGAAGCGAAATAGGTAGTGTATCTCAATATTCTTGGATTTATGATAAAGAACTGAGTTTAATTACTGCTGACGTATATCTTTTAGGATCAAACAAATGCAACTATATATATACTCGCCCCACTTACATATGAAGAATCCATAAACACAGGCATAAGCTACCAGAGCTTCATAAGCTCTGAACAACGGGACCAATGCAGTAAGTAGTCCAGAAACTACCAGTGAAATATTATTTATATAAAGAACATTTGCCCATGATCGATCAGATGCCCAGCCTGTAAACAAATGAATTTATTGAAATATCTTTCATGAAAAGAAAAGTTGCAATGATATAATCACTATAGAATTTCTGACATCCTAATTTCGTATTTGTAAAGTTAATTTCACTGTAATGCATTCAGCTGAGAAAGTTACATTCATTTGGCGTATCCCTGACCACCATTTTTTGATTCACAGATAGGAAACTTTCCAGAAATATTTCTTTGAATTAGCGAACTATGTAGACTATCTCAAGTTCTTAAAAGTGGAAAAAATATCTCATACAAAACTTACTACTTATAAACTGAGAGAAAATAATCCAAACACGAACAAATAATAAGGGAAATCGATTTACGAAGGTAGTATATGATTTTAGTTTGACAAAAACTGCACTTGCATATAGGTCGGTTAATCAGCAAGTGGTGATCGAATCAGTTCCCCAATAGACTATTCTGACGTAAATGTAAAATATTTCCTTATTAAAACTTTCTGAATAAGTGGTGGTCAAATAGGTAGTGGATTGTGATGTCATCATATCATAAGGACAGAATTGTGGTTTAGAGTTTCAAGGAGAAGAGGAAAAACAGTTAATGAGTTTGTGAATTTTTATCGACTCAGGTGGCAGAGACATGTATTACGCCTGCCTAGTGACAGACTTCCTCGTCGCACAATTTTAAATGAAGTATGTTAAGGCTGGAAAAAGGTAAGGGGAGTACAGACTAAAACATATCATACACTGAGGTCTTTGAGTATTAATTTTAGCCGTATAGAGAACTGCAAACTTCCGGAATGGGGTCTGCATGACAAGACAAACTGTAGGTGATACTCTGGGTGACATGCTTCAGAATCGATATCAGTGGTGCAGATGTATCTACATGTTATCCTCATCTTAATCGTCATACTGAATTCAGTATTTTTTTTAATTTCTCCTCCTTTCTCACTTTACTACTTTCTACCGCTTTTGACCAGTTCTTTTCTACTTCTTTATCTTCCATTTTGTTGTTTTGATATTTGGTGTGCTGATATGAGGCATGGTAATTGAACTGTTAAACAGAAATACCTGCTTTTTATGTTGATTTTAATTCTGTAGCTGATAATGATTATGAATTTCTTAACTCACAATCTCTTATTTTGTTGACTGCATAATTTGTTTTTAAGTTCATAGACTTCAGCTATTCAAAAAGTACTTTAAGATATTTTAAGAAGTATACATACAAAAGCAATTTGAATGAGATGAATGTTGGTGAAAGGAAATTAAAGAGTTCTTAGTTAATCCACCAAAGCCTGAACATTGTTCAGTAGTCAATCATACTGTTGGTAACAAGATGAACTCAGTATTACCACTTTCACAATATAAAGAAATAATAATTAAACCGATTGGTACTTTTGTAACCATTTTTCGGTTTTTGAAGTTATCCTAACCGACTTACCTACTATCATAATGCACGCGACTGATGTTTTAACATCTTCAAGCTGTAAACAAAGAAACCATATTGAAGCCCTACTTGAACAGAAGTCTACAAATGGTTAGTTAAACATTTTCTGGTAGCTATAACACTCATCCATAAATATTAAGTAGTACATATTGTTGATTTCAATCCCATTAATTTAGAGTATGAACTGTAGACTGAATGAAAACTATAAGTATATCATAAGCTCTGTTTGAATGAATGATTCCCATAACTGACGTTTCGAAGGAAAAAGACAAATCCACATTTATATCAGTCTCAACCGTAATACAGTATTTTGTGCAATTTAGTCAGTTATCAAACAGAACTTTTTATTGGTAATACTTAAACGACGCTATAAATTGGTTAATCTTCAGTCTATTATAGTAATTCTTTTCCATCTTCTTTAACAATTTTTCTAGGAGGAAGTTAGAGACAAGGATTTAGTCTTCTTTTGCTGTTTGATGAGAAAAAACTAAGGAAGAACACTACAGAGTCTTCCAATTTATGTATTTGTCGTATAACCGAAAAGTATAAGACACAACCAGCAAGCAAAAGAATAACAGTGACTGGCGCCCCTAGATCGTTTCCACGAAATATATCATACCTCTTATGAAAAAGTAACGAGTGGTTCTGCAGAAGCTGTATGATCTAGATGACAAAAAGAATTTTGACAACGTGGAAGTACTGTCAGTAAACTCCTGAGGGATTTATATGTACCTGATCAAATAGTATTTAGCAAATTACTCAGTGTTTCCGAATGAACGCAATCAAATTTGCATGCCCAGATGTTCGTACAGCAGTAATTTACAGTTTAAAGAATAAAACCCTTCAAAATATTCAATAGATTATTGAAAAAGAATGAAAAATGTAATTTTTAAGCTTGTATCAAAAACATTTGTCTTCGTTTAATATGTCGAAAGATTGTTCATGTTATCACTTGTATGATCCCGTTGTTGATTGAACCGAGGTGATAGGTTTCTATCGGCATATTGGCTCTTGTGAGGATTTCTCAATATTACCTGTGGTTTTTAGTTGTAGTAATGATGGGTAGTGGCCAGCAGTGGAATTCAGGATGCGCATTTTGTTCTGTTTGGGACTCGTCAGCTGGATACACCTGCCTCCCAGAGACTGGTATGGTTCCCACCAGCATTAGGAGTCGGGACCGGTCGCTCCAAACGCCAGAGCGTAATCCACTAGACCATCGAGCCACGATAGCCACTTCTTGTATGACGCATGGAATTTTACTATAATGGTCCGGTGGTGTAGTTTGAAGCAATCAGTACCGAGTTCAAATCCAGGTAGGAACAGCTTCACTCACAGAGGGGCAGGTTCATTCAACTGACAAGTTCCAAATAGTTCGAAATGTTTATCGTGGATTCCACGGCTAGCAACTATCCATCACTACTGTAATACCGAAATATTGTTGCAAAACATTCTGAACACGTCTAAATGGATCTTGCCATCACTAAATTTAAAAATAGTTGCTCAGCTTATGCATGACACAACTAATTTACAGATATTATCGAAATCAGCATTCAAAGTCATTCACTGTCAAGGTAGAAGTTTCGATTTTCAACTTTGGTTTCATGTTACCGTGTGGGCGAAATAAACCTATCTGAACAATTTTTTTGCCTTCAGCTGACCAATGAAAACAAGTATCGAAACTGTGACCTAGAGGCTTCATTTTCTTAGAGGAAACTGTATATAAATGATGTGTTTTATTTCAAATAAAGATATGTTCCTTACAGTCTCAGACTGATCCTCGTCTTCTGATTTAGGCGGATCAATGAAGTATCAGGTCTGAGGGATCACAGTCGCTCTTTGTATTCAGTCCAAGTGTCTCATTGAGTTGGTAGCGCTCTCGTAGTTTGTACTATTCTATCGGTCACTTCATCTACTAATCAACATGAGATAAAAACGATACTACTAAAATGATTTCAGGGTCTTCGTGTGTTTCTTGTAAGAATTATATAAGGTTTCCTAACAAACATTGTAAAGTAAACTGAAATCAAGATTGAAACTTAAATATAGTTTACAGCACGAAGAGCAATCCGTTGAAAAGCTTTATCGAGGAAGCGAACAATAAAATACTGTTGTATCTCTGTTGGAAACGTTTTGTATCTAGATTTTTCTACATTATGTCATAAAGTCCCTTAACAAGGAAGCTGCCTTTTAGGCATTAAGTTAAAACTTCAATTTTTCAGCTTAATTTCACCGGCTTAATCAATTCTGTCGTTTGGATTGAAGATTTTGACATTTGAGATAAATCAATTTAAAAAAATGAAGGCAAATAATCACCTACAAGAATTATTACTACTGTTACTTTTTAATTGACTGAAGTTGTTAAGTGATTGTTACTGGAGAGGAGTATACTTACTCACCAGAGTCTCATTCACCATAAAATGTAACTAATTTCTACTGCCTCGGTAAAATACTCTAGTGTGAATATCATTGAAGATTTTTTGGAATAGGAATAGCATTTACCTTCTTTATCATTAATTCAAAAAGATATCTCTTCATGCATTAAGATACCTTTGAATAGTTGAACTTATTGAAAGAAGTTTGGGTATTAAAGAGTAAGTCCATCTGGAAAACTAACAGGTTCCAATATAACTAGTCAAAATCTTGGTAGCTACTTTTCAAGGATTTCAACGTTGTGTAATAGTATTGAGTTGGTTGATACTATGTACACATTGAACAACTTATTCATGCCCTTATGATCCATAAAAGATGGAGAAAGCTGATGATGTTAAATTTGTTCCATAATATGAGAAGGGAGGGAAGTATCAGGAAAGCATCTTCCAAGACAACCCTTTTGCTCAACTAATAAGTGCCGTCTAGTACACAAGAATGCCTTTTTCCCATTGACCAGCAATTAAGCCAAACAGTAATCAGTTTAGAATGAAAGGAATAATGAAACCCTTGCTCAAGGATAAGAATGCTACACAGGAGCGCTAAATATTTTTTTTTTGCATCTAACTTTATCTTTGCACAGTTCATATCTTTCTAGGTGTGTGAGTATACAGCCAACCCACAAGATAATATACAAACTAGTGAGCGTACACCAACCTCAGCTTAAAATTGTATGACAAATATATATTTAAGAACAAGTGTTTACGAATTTAACTATTCTTCATTTGCGCTCTTCTCACTGTTACAGAAACCAGGTGTGTACTGCTTACGATTAAATTTATCCATTTATTATGATAATTCATGTTACACCTTGCTTACCTTGAAGTAGCACATGAAAAATATGCATGTTTAGCACAAAAATATTGTTTACGCAAACATTGGGAATAGTTTAAGTAAATACTATTTTATTCAGCCGATAGCAAAGCTCCTATTTACTTGAACATTACTGAGTATGCTTTCTTTTCTTTGCTTTCCAAACTTATTTGGTGAACAGACTTTTGCTAATCTAATTTTAGGACAAAAGGTATTTGCATGCTCAGTTAGTGATTACAGCCACAGATGGCATAGTATGTGCAGTAGTCAACCAGCCTTGTGAAATAGATACCCTATATTGTGGGTGACAAACAATATTGGTGAGATGTATTTAAAGTCAAAGTGAAACCTATTGATTATAAGGACACCGGGAAATCGACTTATTAAACTGCAGTAATAATGGACAATTTGTAAGCTTTTATATAAGTAGCAGTTTTCTCTACAATAGATAGACTGCTAAGCGTTCATCTGACTTATTAAATAGGACTACCATACAGACCGATCTTTTTTTGATGAACACCAATAAGAGTGACTTTATTCATATCAGATGAAAACAAATTCCTTCAGTACACTGCCTCAGTTAAATTTGTTTGTCATTTTAAGGTGACGGGTCCAAAATAAGATGAAATGTGCGCGCTGGACTCCACTGCTAACCACCATCAAATAAGCTACAACATGACAAGTCTTCAGGTAATGCCTAAGTAACCATATGGGACCCCATATGCCGACAGAAGTTGACCAATTCAATCCGGTATAACAAAGAGGAGATTACCAATCATATTTTCGCTAAATAAAAAAAGCACTTAAAAAGTGCATATGAAAATCGATTTGAATTCCCAAAGATTCAGGTTTCGGGTGAGGGATATACTAAACAAAGTTGTGAACTAAGCTAAGCGATTAAAATGAAGACAAACTTGACCAAATCCAAACAGTTGTGTAACCAACAAGTTACACAAAGACATTAAGGGGGACACTGCTTATTCTATTGTTTCGTATAAAGACCTCATGTCATTTATATCGAAGGTCCTTGAGAAGGGTGTGAATTCACTCGACAACTGCTGAAAAGCGAAATGACCGATTTCCTATCACGATTTAGAGAGATGGTTCTATTTAGGTTCAAACAATCCTGAATGATTCCCGAATTCATTTAAATTAATTCATATGAATAATGTTTCAATCATCCGTTATGCATGATGCATGCAAAATATCTTTGCAGGTCGAATCGCATACTGTAAACACCAACTGAGATTTGAAAGGTACAATACAACGGCTTTATTAACTGTGAAACAGATAACAGATTTCATTGCTCAAATATGATGGACAAACGAGGTTATTTATCACATACACAAGATAACAAACAGCACAATGTTAACAAAAACTCAAAATGATAATCCATTTAGGTAGGGAGAAGTATCCACGGGCAATACAATAACTAAAGATTCTGACAAACCTGTGAGTATTCTCCCGACTGTATTCAAACCACCAAGATAAGCTAACAGATATGATGCAGACGCTTCACTTGCGCCTAGATGTTGTGCATTATCTTTTAGAAATTGATAGGGAACACAGTAGCCTGTAAGTGAAAGAAGAAATTTCTCTAGAATGAGAATACAAAGCTTCATTGGTGCTAAAAACACACACTAACTTTATAATAAACATTTTATCATACAAGTAATCTATTCTTGATTAATATCCATGAATGATGCTGCGTTAAAGTAATTTACGAGTTATTATTGATCGAAATTACAGACTGATTGACAATGATAAAATCTTGAAAATTAGGGATATAGGTCATTATCATAAACTATACTGGATAACAATTTTTTTATAACACGATCCAACACATTTGGTAAGAAAGGCTTGTGGGGACAAGGTAAATAAAGACTAGTGTAGACAAGTTTTTTGGCAGTCCTACACTGTTCCCGGATTTTCAAAGATTCCCCAACCGATGTCAGTCTGTGATCAATACTAAAGTGAATGAGTTCTCTAGACTACTTTCCATTGATCAGCATCTATACCTCGAATTAAACTTCGTTACGTAAGTAAAAGAGTAAAATGCACTCACTGTAGTAGAATAATTGTTTTAATTGGTCTATTATTTACTGGAATACCTTTCGGACATAATTTATTGTCCATACTCATACTAGGATAACTACATAACTTTGAAACATGGTTTATATAGTTCTACTTTGCTCACGACCTTTTGATATAAGTTGTAATATTTGCCTTACATACGGAACACGTGGTGAGTTATTACTGCCAGATATACTAGATGCCGATTCGATAAACAAATATTCGGTTATCAACATCTCGTGCCACTCTGCTAGATTAGTTATGAGGATTTTCAACTTGTCCCATTCTACTGTGTGGTTGTATGTAACCATGCGCATAACTACACACGAGCCTTTTGCATCATCTCACTAGGATCTACCAATTTTTGACCTAGTTAGGCTTTTGTGCTTGAATAGCCTTGAATCACAAAGCCAAATAAATAGGTCAAAGTAGTTGACCAGAGTCAATTAGGCCATTCGAGAACAAAAGCCTAGCTAGGTCAAAAATTGGTAGATCCTAGTGAGATGATGCAAAAGGCTCGTGCATAGTTATGCGCATGATTACATACAACCACACTAAAGAATGGGAGAGGTTGATAGCTGAATCGAATCAACACCTAATATATGCAACATGAATGACTCAGTATTTGCTCCGGATATAAGGTTAGTCTTATATCCCATATCACAAAGAAGGCAGGGAAATCAGGACTACTTAAAGGTTGTCTCAAAGTTCTGTAGTTATCTTTATATAGCTATGGACGGTATACTATGCCCGAAACGAAATCTAGTAAAAAATACAATTACACCGTGATCTGATAAATCAATTAAAATGAAATTCTTTACGTAAAGTAATTGATCAGCTAAAGACCAATACACATTAGACGTATCCAGAAAACAATATTTTTACATGAAGATGAATATTAAAAACATTGTTTTCACGTTGATAACACATTAAGAAAAAGCAGTTTTTGTTTTCGGTAAAATTAAGAACCTCCCGTTGCTAAGTTATACAACAAAGTTTTTCTTGTGATCTATTTTACCTTGCTCCTACATTTTAGACAGTAACTGACACTACTCACATCATATATTAATGATGAATAGTGGCCAGCAGTGGAATCCAGGATATGCATTTCGTCCTATTTGGGACTCTTCAGATGGATGCACCTGCCTCCCAGTGAATGATGTTGTTCCACCGGTGTAGTAGATAGTATTCTGGTGTCTGAAGCGATCGCTCCCAGGTTCAAATTCCGGTGGGAACAACATCACTCACTGGGAGACAGGTATATCCAGCTGACGAGTCCCAAAGAGGACAGAATGCGCATCCTGGATTCCACTTCTGGCCACTATCCATTAATAATATAATTAGAACACAGGTAATATCGAGGCATTCTCACAGGAGCCCATATACCAATATCCAACGGATATTAAGATTTTTTTCTTAATGTTTCGAAGTTGGTTATCTAACCTTTTGTTGTTGGTGTTCTTAAGGCATATCGTAAACTCACCAATCATACTCAATACACTGGAAATGGCGAGCAATACAAACGTTAGGCTCTTCAACAATTCCAAGCCAAGAACATTTTTAAACATAGACCAAACCGGTCGATCAATATTCATTTCTTCAGCTGGTATTGTTACTGATCGGATATATGATGCTACATCAGTAGTAGACAAAAACTGGAGAAAAATGAAATATATGAAACAAATCTGTAAATATCATGCGAATATGATAAACACTTGAAAGCTATAGAAAATAAAATTCAACAATACATAAATGAAATACTTTAATATTACAGATCAAAAATACAATTAAAGGAATTATAAGGTGAATGCTGACGAAATCTCCTATTTTGGTAATGAAACATCCCAGAAGAAACCTCAAAGCTTGGAGGACACCAAACAATTATCGTCATTATCCTTAACTTTCAACCAGAAAGCTTCTGAGCTCGAACACCACCCCACCTGCAGAGGTGTGAATAGCCGGGTAGAATCATTAGCCCTCACACAGTAGCTGCAGCTTATTGCCTACTGCGCAAAAGTGCACGTGGTTGCTGAAAGAATCGCAGGTTTTTCAAAATCCTTATTCTGAACTAGAAATCTTGTCCAATTTCTCAAAACAAGAAACAAGGTCTGATTATATTAATGATGGATAGTGGCCAGCAGTGGAATCCAGGATATGCATTTCGTCCTATTTGGGACTCTTCAGATGGATGCACCTGCCTCCCAGTGAATGATGTTGTTCCACCGGTGTAGTAGATAGTATTCTGGTGTCTGAAGCGATCGCTCCCAGGTTCAAATTCCGGTGGGAACAACATCACTCACTGGGAGACAGGTATATCCAGCTGACGAGTCCCAAAGAGGACAGAATGCGCATCCTGGATTCCACTTCTGGCCACTATCCATTAATAATATAATTAGAACACAGGTAATATCGAGGTGTCCGCATAGGAGCCCATGTACCAATAGAGACTGATCAATTCGGTCCAATCAACAACGGTATAATATAAAACAATTATACTAAGAAATAAGTTTATAAGAATACAGTATGGAAAATCATGCAAGTCGTAGTCAGAAAATTATTTATGTGAAAGGAGAAACTGGGGGCACCAACGAATACCTCAGGGATCACATAACCGTTCAAGGGTTATCAGAATGAAATAAATTTGGTGAAAAGTAGTCACTGGGTAATTTTAGAAAGCTGAACAACGTGATGAAGTACACAACAGATAGCTTCGGCTATTACAACAAAAAGGGATTGATCACATTTTCCCTCTTTATGCCTACATAAATCAAGTAACAAGTAATAAACCTTTTTCAAAGCATAGCAGATCTCACCTACTGATGTATTTTCAGTATTCTGAATGCTTGCCTGGGATTATTCTAATGACCTATGCATGGCAGGGACTTTCATTCAGTGTACTTTTCAGTTGCAAACCGTTGGTCATCCCAGTGATACTGTTAAATGAAGTTACTAGGTTGTCAACTTCAAATACAAACGTAATATATTTTTATCCATACATGATATTGCTTGATAGTTTAACAGTATACAAAGCATGTTAGAGCAGCACATGTCTCTTAACTACTTTTCTTCAACGAAGTCTACATCCATTAAATACAAAGTAAATAGGGTTCTGTCGCTTCAAATCTAGGTAAACAAAATGCGCAGTATACATTCACTCTCTTGAGCGTTAATAAATTTGAAAAAAAACTTCTAGTGAGTGCAGCAACTCGAACAATCATCCTTTTTTATGCAGTCAAAAGTATCCGTCTAGTCTTCAGTTTCATATCAGTAACATTATTAGGTAAATGAAATTACAATGAAAGTTTCTGAAAAGATTTCACTCAAGCAATATTCGTTTATGGTAGCTTCCAAAGTAGTGGTCACTCAATCTTAGAATAGTCATTCATTGTGAAAAAGTTGATCTTATCAGAGGAGAGAATAAAAAGTTGAAATTTTTCAATTTTTTTCAGATTATTAAATCTTTCTAGGGTTTATTGAACCCGTGATTACGCCACACACACACACACACACAGTAGGCCGGTCATAATTATCTCACCATAGATAAACACAGAAAACTTAGTAAAATATGTGAACTTGAGCATTGTTTGTGCCGCAGAATTGATAAAAGAAATAATATTGTCTATATACTCTTAATATTTTACTGGTTTTTTCAACTTTTCTTATAAAAAAAGCAAAATATGACTGTTATCAAGTATTCCTTCGATAACATACTCATGAGAAGATTTTTGTCTCACGAGACGCTATGCATTGACCAAAACATTTCGCTCCATTCCTTTATTTCATAATCAGATATGCTTCAACTTACTGTGAAGTTGACAATCTGATTTACTTCGATTCACCAAGTATACCATTTTTGGTACAAAAGTGAAGGAAAACTGAGCTAGTTATTCATCAATCTTAAACAAAACCGACCAGGTTATGAAAAATTCAGAAAGAAGATATGATAATATAAAATATGAATAGGTTGAAATTATCCAATAAGTAATCAGTCTCAAAAGACAAATTGCTTAGTGACTTACTTCATTGAGATGTATTAAACTTCCACTAAGAAATAAATCCTTCTTATAGGCAGGTCTTGAAATTTCCTTCTGCAACTCATTTACAATAGCCTGACACATAGACGAATCAGCTGGCATTTTCAGTGAAACTGCTGAAGCAAAATGAGTAGTGCTTCCAAAGTTATCTGGCTAGAGTAGAAAAAAAAAGAAGTATTCAAATTAATGACTAGTATTTACGGTGAAGATGGTTGAAGTTGACTTTGAAACTTCAGTCACCACAACGTTTGTACCATTAGTTTTGAGATCAATGTTTTAACACTACAATGTTCATTCTAATATGTTTTTATTTTCAACTTTATCAACAAGTATTACCTAGTTGGATTAAAGTAAATTCTTTGATATATATCATCAGGAAACAATTCAAATGATGTTATACTTCATTCCACTTAAATAGCCATCAACGGATCTCAACTAAAGTTTTGTCTACATGAGAATTCTAATACTACTGAATCAAATACATTTGAATTTTAGGCTGAGATTCAACACAGACTGACATCAGTTAGAGGAACATTGGAAACTTGGTTGTACTAGACAGCTGTTTCGTCCTAGTATGGGACTCCTCAGCAGTGCACACCAATGATTACCCCACTAGGGATCGAAATCAGGACGGTCAGGTTCCGTGGCCAGCACGTTACCATTGAGGCACTGAGTCGGAATTCATTCATGTGATACTCTAGCTGTGTAGCACAAATAAAACTAAGAATACTCTGAGTACAAATGAAACAACATATTAGACTCATAAATCTCGATTGTTAGAACTTCACACTGTTTCCTTTTTTTTGAAAAATTTAAGTAAAGTAAAAACAACTATAAAGGAGGAGAAAGATGAAATCAACTTATTTCGTATATGTTTTTTTATCTTTTCACTACGCTTACTAGTCCTATGGACCTAATTTCCTTTATCCGAAAATTTTGTTTGCACATGTGCATAACCCTCTGCTTAGTTTTCAGAATATCAATTTTTTATCTTTATTCCTGCGTTCACATCTCTTATAGACAATATTTTTACCATCAAGCTGATCAAAGTACGTATCATTTATTTATTAAAATGACTAAGAAGGATAGTCATATTGTGGTAGGCTGAAAATGTTCATATGTAGTGATAATAATTTAGGAAATGAAAACTTAGGCACAGACATAACAGAAACCGGTGATCCACAGGTTACAGACCCGGAGCTTTACTAACACGGTTACATCATGCAGCTATTGAACAGGTCTTAAATTTAATTGCATTGCTCAAGTTTTTATTACCAGCCTTTTATATTTCATACAACTTGCCGTTGAAAGCGCTTCACATTGTAAGTAGTTGAAATTATTTCAAGAAATAATATGCTATTTATTGACATACTCGTTATACTCCGTTGTTTTGTTAGATCGGATTTGCACATGAGCTCCTATGCGAAATATCGAGGCATCAGCATAGGAGCCCATAAGCCAATAAAGGTCGAACAATTCCATCCAACAAAACATCGGAGAATAAAAAGTATGTCAATAAATAGTAATAACTACTACCAGTTGCGCAAGAAGTGACTATCGTTCCTCTGTGACATAGTGAATAACGCCTTGGTGTTTCAAGTGATGGGTACGAGGTTCAATTCTCAGTAGGAACAACATCACTGGGGTGCAGGTACATCCAGCTGATGAGTCCCAAGTAGGACGGGACGCGTTTCCTGAGTTCTCCTAATAGTCACAACCGACCAAATTATCATAAATAATATGCTATATTTAATTTCACCCAAAGGATATGTTTGTTCTAGTAAATACAATAACTGTAACATTGGCTGCTCAGCTTAACAGTTGTGTTGGTTCCATATTAGATTTGTTTATTTTATTTAAAACACACCGTGACACAATATTATTTACTCGATGACGTTTCGGGCATAAATGATCATTGCTCATAATCATATCAATGTAATCACACTACTTTCGATATCTGATTTTTACAGTTACGTCACTTCATATGATTTGATTTTATTGGTAGTAAAATTGTCCATAGGTGTTGCGTCATTTCTATTACATATGTTGAGTGTTCATTCGATGAACAAAGATTCAGTAGTCAATCTCTCTCCACCTAATTATATTGGACTTGAATACAGTGACTTTATCCCACCCTATCGTGTGGTTGTATTAATGCATACAATGCAATAACCAAGTTTTTCTAGATTATTTATCTTATTTAGGTCTCTCATTCTATATTTAGCTAAATTTCTATATTCAGGTATTCTAACTGACCCCGACCGACTAGTTTGACCTATATACTTGACCTGACTTACAGTCATTACATGCAAGTTGACAGATTAGATTATTCTGCTTGATTGGTTCTATCGGATCCTTAAGCCAGCTGACAAAGCTTATCTCTGAGTGAGTTTGGAGGTTTAAACACCACCGTAATTCCAGCTTTGTTGAGGATCCTACGTAAAGTTTCTGATGTAATTTCTTTGTAGGGTAACACAAAGGAAGCTGTGAACTCCTTTCTACTAGTGTTGTCGTTATTATTCCTACTAGTGTTACTGTTATTTTTTCTTTTCTTGTGTATTCGTACGAATTTCTTAATAAACTGCAGAGGATAATTTTTAATTATAAATGCTTTTTTTTACGTGTTTTAACTCCTTGTTTAGGTTCTTGCACTGACTAGTCAGTTTTCTAGCTGTATCACTTAGACATTTGACTAATCCTGCCTTAACTGACATTCGATTGGATGACTTGAAGTCTAGATACTTGTTGCAATGTGTCGATTTTCTGCGGACGACAACACAAGTAGAAAGGAATTCACAGCCTCCATTGTGTTAACCTACAAGGAAGGCACATCAGAAACTTTACGTAGGATCCTCAACAAAATTTTACTACTAATAGCAGCAACTCACATAAGGTAATGTAACTATAAAAATCAAACGTCGAAAGTTGTGTGATTACATTGATATGATTATGAGCAATAATAATTTATGCTCGAAATGTCATCAAGTAAATAATGCTAGATCACTGTGTATTGTAAATCAAATAAATAATTCTTATAAGGAATTAAATTCTTCCACATTGCCGAAGTTTTACATCTATATTAGTTATCTGAACTGCCAGAATTCAGGAAATATTACTCAGTAAAACTACCTAATCTTTTGTTCAACATTGGTTCGCACTATGTTCTGAAAGATAATACACACACTTGAGGAAATAATTCTCTCTCTCTCTCTGTAATTGTTAAATGTGTACATTTCAGAAGCTTAATGGGACAAAGTTACCTTTCAGAATCCAGATTTCAAAAACAACGATTACAATAACACTTCTGAGAGACTATTTGTTAACAGTTTCATAAAAAGAAAAATAACCCATGTTAGCTTTATAGTAGGCCTGAAACCGTCATAGTGGATAAAACTGCAACCAGACGTGCCATGTTGAAAGAAATTGGACTCGGTTGGAAGGAGGATTCAGGGTGACTAGACAAAGCAGTGACACTACTCAATGAAGTCTCTTACTGTTGGTCTAGTCGAATGAAGTGATTTGGACTAGGTGGTTGGAGTCTCTGGGACGATAGAAATCAATGGTTAAAGACTTTTGATGACATGGCCGGGAATCGGTCGCAATACCGCAGATGTATTCACTCCTTGACATCTTCTGAAGTTTGATTAGATGCAACAGCCTTTGTCTCACACTACTTTGTCTTCTTTGATATCATCCTTTTTTTATTCATCTTTTAGTTGTGTACTACTATGAAATGTGCCAACTTGAGCCGATACACCTTTATGAGAGGTTCTACGTTGTTTTTGTCAGTCAGTCAGTCTGTAAGAAGCTATAGGTTGTTTACAAAACTTAATATTTTGTTTATCTGATGGTTGGAGAGTAATTATTCCATCTTGGTGGCATAGTTATATAACAGTGACTACTTTATCGAATCTATAATTTTTGAATCTTGATATTGTTGTTATATATAAACACATCAGCTGACCAGTTGATTCTGTCTTGCCGTATGCATTCAGTTCAACTATGAGATAGTCACCAAATGATAATAATGCGTTGGTCATGTCAAGTTCTGCACTGCAATACTGAGTTCGACTACTTACTCCAGTGTGCAGTTAAGTAGACATCAAGTAAGTATTTCTGTCCACATACAAGCTATAGTTTAAATTTTTCTTCACTTACTTATTTGTTTTAGCTGATCGAATTTTCATTCATTGTTTATCCTAATTATTATGATATTGATGAGTTGACTGCGTAGTTCACTAAAGCTCTAAAAGTTTACCATTATATGAATTTATGAGCCTTTATTAGTTAAACAGATTATCACGTTAATCTTTGCATGATTAGTGTTATTCAGTTTGAGTTCACAGTCGAACAATTATCTTTAAAGTTTTGGCTAGTATTTTCTTATGTCGAAACGCAACTCATGAATTGCTCAAATCTTAAATTATATGTTTATCTTGAGCTAACTTGCATAACTACTGTCAGATCAGCAACAAAAACAATAACATAAATTGGTTTTAACAACGACATAGCAAGATGAGTAAAGTAGTTTTTATCAAGTGAGAATATCCATCTCATCTGTCAGTGTTTTTCACAGATACTTTTCATTGAGCTCTATGTGCTTAGATGCAGTTCTAAATAGTATTCTATGCACTAAGATATGACGTGTGTTTTGCTCAATCGAATGTCTTCCCTTTCCTCTTTCTACAGTGTTTGCTAAACGTTTCGGTTTATTCTGGAATTCTTACTGCGTATACATCTTTATTCCCTTCAAAAACCCTGAATAAGTAAAGCTAATCGACTACGTATAGTTAGACCAACCGATCGCTTTGGTTTTTCAACACTCTTAAAACAGGCTTCATTTCCGATTTAAGCTAATTAATCTGTAGTCTGCACATACTAATTTTACTGACGATAATCCTGAGAACAAATAGTACTCAAAATAGCTGGAAGCCTAATACCGACATCCACAATCAACAATAACAAACTTATCTGTCCTTACCCTTATGTCTACGGTTTTGTCAACAAAAATATATTCGGTCACATTTTCTAGTTGTCACGTAAGGAAATTTTCTTTATCTTTTTAAATAAGTGTAAAACGTTATCAAGATGAAACAAAAAGGAATCGATGCGAACTGAATTACCTTCCTGTACACAACAGCCGATTCAGTCGGTTCTGTATAAACTTGACTTGTGTGAAGATTTTTCTGTGAAACAATTGAGGAGAGTCGAAGTTTAGATGAAAATTCTGGAGTAGCTAAACTTGTTGATGATGCTATAACTTGACGATTGAGAACATCGCCTACAATACGGTTAACTGCCTCCACACTCATAACAGGGATACATTCAGAGGGATTATTTTGCATATTTGACGTATTCTTTACTCCGGAAACAAACTGATTACTGTGCGTAATTACAGCATCTGCATTAAAAAAAAAAGTAAATGGATTAATGACTTCTGAATTCCGAAAAAACTTTATGTAACATGGAAAATCCAAATGTGTGCAAATATGTACACCATGACATTGTTTTAAGCTACAAGCATATAATATCTTCGGGAATAGTTTACATAAGTATACATGTACATTTCTGGTGAATAAACACTTATGAAAAACCTAACTATTCATCAATTGATCCTAGGTCACAGAAAGTACTTTATTTTATTCATAGCTGAAGATGCAGCTTGGTGATGATGATACCGATATCTTACTGAAAATTGAATGGTAAATTTCACATTTTTAATATACAAATATTAGCTAACTGATAACGTAATGACACTTAGATCGGCAGTTAACTGACATCTGTCCAAATGTGTTCGTAGCTTAGTAAAGTATTTTAAAGGTGTCACCATATAAGTCATGCAAAAGTTAGGTGTAGATTCTTAGAAAGGGGAGGGAAGTTAGTGGATGAGATTGTGGATTGTGGATTTTCATCGGCTGAGGTGGCTGGGACATGGATTATGCATGCCTGGTCGCGGTCTGCCCAGTCTCACAAGATTAGCTGAAGTAGGTTAAGGCTGGAAAAAGGCTAGGGACAACCAGACTAAAGCATAGCATCAATGCAAACAATCTTTAACTGTTGGTTTGAGCCTTGTAAGGAGATGAAAACTAGTCAGTTGAAGTTCACATGGCAACAGAGATCAGTGATTCAAGACTATGGATGAAATGGCATAGACTCGATCTCAGATCATGGATGTATCCACACATAATCCCCACCCTAATTGTCATACTGAATTCAGCATCTTATTCCTCCTTCTACTGCTTCTGACCGGTTCTTCTTTATTTCTTAATCTTTCATCTTAGTACTTTGTCAGTTGATGTGCTGATATGAAGTGTAGCAAATAGGACCGTTATGCAGCAATTTCTAGTCCTATGTTGAAGATGACAATGAAAACGTTATATAACGCCAATAATAACTTGTTGAATTATCAATACATAGCGTTAGTCTACACCTGTAACCAAGGCTACCTCTAACCGCCTAATAGTTCTTCGTGAAAAAATTGAAATATATCCCATGATACACATTACTTTAAATTAAACATCACGGATACCGGCTTCAAGTAGTAAACTAAATGTAGAACTTTAACTATCACAGTTCCAAGTAGTTTTAAATAGAAACTGTCTAGATTAGAAGTCACCAAAATATTTTTAAATCAATTCACAAAAAACCGTTTTCATGATAATAATAATAATATTTAAATGATAGTAAAAGCATCCAGACTGCTTAATCATTTGGAATCATGCCAAAGTTGATGTTGATTATTTCATAGAAAACATATATGCAGATAACTTAACGTTTAAGCAAAAAATTACATTGCCTGTCTATCTTACGAAATGGTCACTGAAGGTGAATAACAACTCTTGGATAGTTCATTTTTTCAAGTAGTATTCATCTCAGACTGACATCAGTTGGAAGAACAATGGAAACCTGGGAGCACTGGGCAGCTGTTTTGTTCTAGTATGGGACACCTCAGCAGTGCGCACCCACGACCTCGCCAGGGGTCGAACCTGCGACCTTCAGGTTCCGTGGCCAGCACGTTAGCATTGAGCTAGCCACTGGGTCAGAATCCAGTGGTCCATATTTCCAAGTTCTGTCAGTTCACGACTTAGCACAACCACCACCCAATGTCATCGTTGAGTACTGTCTCACAACCATCAGACTAGCCCCACTGGTCACGACTTCTCATCGGTACTTCAGGAATCACCTCTCGAAGCTAGTCACCAATAAGCACCAGTTCAATTGAATTTCGAGAAGGTTATGGGGATTTAGAAATATTTTCAAGTTAGTATTCATTTTTTGATCAAGAGTTTTTGATGCATTACTGATAGGTAATGCACTAATCGGAAAAGTAATACTGAATGCAGGTATAAAAGTAAAGCTACTCGAAAACATTATGAATCCATCCATGCCAACCTAATTTTCTTGAACATAGGGTAATCAAACTCAGTCAGTATCTACTTTGACAAGTAAATTTTACTGAGCATATCACATACTTCTTTAGAATCTAAATATCTTTCTTCATCTTTCTGTTTATTTTTTCTTCACTTTTCTGAAATGTGCTAGGTTAAATATTTACAACTTTGTGTTGAATATTTAGGGTAGTTTCCTATCAATTTCTTCTCGCTCTTGTCATTATCGATTCAGCTGTCACATGAAACCCTGCAACATGCGTATAATGTTCTTTAGGTATACGACTATACTTTGAGTATTTGTCATCAATATAATAACCTTAACTGGTCATAATCTTTAGTTTTAACAACTTTTGTGTCATTGGTGTAAATACTCTCTAGATAATGGACACAATTAACAGTTTTAGTTATTTCCAATGACATTCACTACTGCGTCGAAAATGATTTCTGAATAATGAAAAATCATTGTACACATTTTGAGTGGTTATATCAAATGAAAAAAATTGATCCTGAGATGATTTATCAATCCTTAATCTGAATCACTTGGGAAATTAACAAGAAATAACTATTCGTTGATTAATCTGGATACGAAAAATTAACATAACATAATTTAGGTCTGTTGCTTACGTAACATTACTTCAGGCTTGATTCTGTCGGCAATTATGGTGATCAAATAAATATTTCGATTTGTGTGGTTAAGAGTATTGTTGTGCTAATAGTTAACTGAGGAAAACTTGAAGTGCATTTCAGTCTTTCAAGATGAAAAATGTAGTTCAAATTGTATTATTAGGCTTTGTGAATAAACAAAATAGTATTCAGAAAAGAGTATTACAACTAATCTTCCTCTCATTTTGTATAATTGTCGTCTGAAGTACAGAAACAACCCTAATTGAAGAGAAAATGAGGTAACATTTTTGCAACTGAAACTCATTCATCAATTCCTCTTGAGATTTCTCAAACTAAGTCGTCCTATAATACTTTTATTAGGTCGAAATTCTCAAAGCCTTACTGCAAACTCCCCGTAGCAAATTACCAATGAAAGATTGCATCGCAAAAGCCAACATGATTCGGTCTGCTGCTGATTTATTGACACAGATGTACTTAAGGTGCAAAGAAGTCTTCAACCATAAAACTGTAATGATAACTTCCTGTCTATGAAATATATTTGTCTGTAAAAATATCAACACAAGGATTCGCTATGTGAAGAGCTTTCTATATAATACTAACGAATAGACTCAGAAACCATGTCAGGCAGATGGTATCAACGTAATATTTAGGACACAAGTGCTTCGGTTCAAGTTGCTTTACGTTACCGTAATATACAAAGAATAGGTGGATAGGAAAAGAGTATTATCAAAGTAGACAAAGTTATGTAACTGAATGAACAATTTGAAAACAATGGATAGGGTAATATTCAAAAATCAGGACACATCAAAGAGTGAACACATCTGCGCCAATTTTCAGCCACATCATGGGGTCTCTCCTCAACCAGTCATTCCTTTCGTTTCGTTGACCCTAGTCAGGTAGTCCACATTTCCCAACACACGTCAGACCAACAGCCAGGGACTTCATCGACTGGTGCCAGATCTTGGTCTGGCCACCCTGGACTCTCTTCCAAACTAATCCAACTTCCCCTATCATGGCAAGTTGAGGTAGGCAGTGCCTCGGCATGCGCAGTAAACGTTCAAATCACCTCAGTTTACCAGGGTTTACAGCGTCATCAGTCGACTTGCCTGCCTAGCACCATTTGCGTGACCTCAACATTTTTGATGCGGTGATTCCACTAAACGAAAGAAATTCTACGGAGACACTTATGATCAAAACCCTATAGCCGCTTCATGTCTTCTACCATTGAAGGTGTGAAAGGACAGAATGGACTGTAGCGCTATATGCTCACCCTTTGACAGATAGACGGATATCTCACCGGCGCCATATTAGTTGTAATCGGTTTGTTGTTCTACTGGACTGGTTGAGTTGTCAGTGCTCAACAAACTATCAATTTATAAGTCGAATGCCCAACATAGCCTATTGAACAATTACCTCTGTCAAAAATAAGCATCAACGGTTTGTTACATTCAAACATGTTAAACATTGATCGAAAACATATCAAACCCTGATATCCGTTGCACAAGAGGCAGCTGTCGCACCACAGTCCCCTGGTGGTTAACTATTCAGTGCTTCGGGCGATGGGTGCTGGGTTCGAGTCTCAGTGGGAACACCACCCCTCACTGGGGTGCAAGTACATCCGGCCGATGAGTCCCATATATGACGAAATGCACTACCTAGATTCCACTGCAAGTTACCAAGATGAATAAATATCAGACCCTCAGTAAAAATATGATGTGACAGTATAGAGAAGGGAAATTTGTGTTTGTCTGCTAATCTCTCAGCCAGTAAAGGAAAAATTTAACATTAATCAAGGGGAAATCACTTACAGAAAGGTATGAAATAAGTGTTGTTTATATGCAACTACTTTTAACGCTTATTTACTGGAGTGACTTTAAAGGCCATCCTAACAACTGCTGAGATGATCAATTACCCTTCTTTGCATTATAAAGAACTATCTTCTTAATCGAAATACCGAAACCTGATTAAGTATTTCAGCAGTTACTAGAGTGACCTTTAAAGTCACACATTTATTCAAAAGGAGGGTAATAGAAAAGAACGATTTAAGAGCGACTTTATAGGTCACCCTAAAAACCACTGAAATAAACAATCAGCTTTCAACATTCCGGTTAGAATGATCGTTTTTGTAAAATAGAAAATTCTAATTGGTTATTTATGTTTTTGTTAAGGTGGCCGTTGAAGTCACTGCCCAATTCACTCACGACAAGAACTCAAAAGACAACCATCTAACTAGCCAGGCATTGTTATGACTACTTTTATGTGAACTAACTTTAAAGGCCACCCAAGAAACAACTGCAATACCCCATTAGACTTCGCTATTGTACGAAAAACTACCCTTTCAGTCAAAACAGAGTAACCTAACTGGGTATTTTAGTCGTTACTGGGGTGACCGTTAAAATCACTCTTGAGTCACACTCCCTTTTCGAAAATCTAATTTACTTCCAACCTCAATATCCCGAAAGAAATACAGCTTTTGAATATAATGGCAGTCAAGCTTTTTAGAGTGAAATATGCATTAGCGTCTTTCCATCACAACAAGATTTCATTACTTCTGAAACAGCATATAATACTTGAAAGTGTACAGAAATAGATAAGCAAATGTTTTGTCAAATGCGCAAGATCAGTATCAGATAGCACAGAAAACTAATTATCAGGCTTCTTTGACTAGATATCTTGAATAAATTTTTACACATGATGAATACTTAAGTGAAAAATTTATTAACACCTAGGAAGTTTCTTAACACTTCCTTCAGTCTAGTACATTATATCTTGAAATTCTTGAAATACCAGGGGAGAATAAAGTACAAAAATATATTAGATGGTCAGTAACATTCTATTTAACCTCAAAACAAAGTGAGTCGTTCATTTCAAAAGGCTTCTATAAATTCTCAAATCGCCCTCAACTAGAAAAGAAAAATCAAGGTGCTAAAGGTTTCTTTGCTTACAAACGTTCAGATGAATAGTTTAGTTTCTAGACCTATTTTAATTATGAAAATTGCAAACAGTTTTATAAACTGAGTCTTTCATTCTCAATATCACTGTCAAACCTTTGAATAACTCAACTCATTATATAAAGGATAATCGATAAATACAAAAGATAAGTCTACTCTTAACAATCTTCAGGCTACGTCAGTATTGTTTAGTTGTCGAGCTAAAGAAAAACTAAGACAGAGGAATTCAGTTTACGTGCACTGTTTGTTGGGGATTGATGAAAAATTTCCCTACGCATCACCATCATTCTCACATATATATGTGAAAATCTGCTTGGTAGTTTGCTTGAACAATGGGCTACCAATAAATATTTTCCAGCGGATATATTATATTAAATTCTAGCCTATCAGTTTATTCCCATCTTTCAAATATGTCCTTTGAATTTATCATGTACTCCTGCGTATCTTTAACATGTTTATAACTTGACATTTTTTCCAGTCAACAGCAAAACGAAGGAAAAATGTTACGTTTGTAGAAGATGGACTTTTGATTGCACAAAAACACATCATAATTCTATCCCTCAGATACTTTGATTGGTTGAATAAACCACCTACAAACTTATGTTCACTTTTTCTGTTCATTCTCAATTGCAGACCGAACGTTAATTCAACACTAGATGACTGTTTCATACTGTTGCTTTTAATAATGTTGCTATTTACGTCATTCAGATGTAACCACCATTCCGGTTGAAAACACTGTTCTGTGAGTGAATGTGCTAAAATATTATTATTATTAAACTTCTCTGTAAAAGCATGGCGTCACATAGTTGGCATGCACTTGCATAGATCAACCATCTGCAATATGCAAGGTGGTTATAACTAACCAAGGAAATGAAAATCAGAATCTCAAACAAGAATTATCGATTATATTATTTTATTTATTGTAAATGACACTTTACTGAAGATTTGTTTCAAAGTAATCTTCTACAGTTCAACTCAAGACCTTTACAATGACTCTTCACCTAATAATTTATGATTTTTTATCGTGAAATATTTGCATGTTATATGCAATCCCTTACCGTGTATGAAGTAGGTGCTAATGACGTCATCTAGTTTGGCGATGGAATATTCAGGCGCAAACGTCAAAGCTCAGAGAACACCAAAGAATTAAATCTTCATTATACTGATTGAGAAGTGATCTGAAAACGTCAAGCAGATCCTTCAATTTTCTTTAGTTGTATCATCGTTAGTTTATATCAAACGCTTTTAACTAACTGAGATTAACTCGAAATATTCTGCATCTTTCCTTTTCTGACATCGTGTGAATTACTTATGCAATCTTATAGCGTTTATCTAGATTGCTACTCCTGTCATTACCTGTACTCAAACGGCTTCCATCTGATTTTGCATATAACTGTGACAATTTGTTACTACTTATTGGCCTTCTTTAAATTTGCTGTTATGATTGACCATTTCTGTCCACCTTTACCCCTGAACTACATGCTTATGGTGTGTACAAGCGGGACTTAACTCACATGAACGTAGAGAAGACAGAGGGGATGAAGATATTGAACCAACAACAAGCATCAATCACCATCAACGGGAGAAACAAAAAGGAAGTTGCCTCTTTCACCTACCTACCTGCCCACATGCCTACCTACACACCTACCACCCCACACCTACCTACCTACCTACCTACCTACCTACCTACCTACCTACCTACCTACCTACCTACTACATACATACATACATACATACATACATACATACATACATACATACATACATACCTAAGCAGCATCGTTTCAACTACAGGCGGCACAGGCACAGATGAGGATGTCAAAGTAAGGATAAGAAAGACAACAAGACAGGCCTTCCTGAATTAATCCGTCTGGGGCAGTCATGCACCAGGTCAGGCTCTTGAGTGGAATCCAAATGGGAAACGACGACTTGGGCATCCCATCTGACGCTGACAAGGAGGAGAGTGTGTGAGGAAGAAATGAAGGCTTCTGGGTAGTCGTGAAGTCAGGTTAAAACGACTGCAGAGAAGAGAGTGAAATGACGACGTGCTACTGAATCTCTATGCTCCACTTGGAAACCAAGGTACAAATAATAATAATAATTGACCTATAGTTTATGACCATTTCTATCCTTCTTAAACATTGACCGACATGCTCAGTTTGTTTCAGTGAATTAAAGTAAATTAGATTTTGAGTGGAACTGCTTATTTCGGTTTTGTAGGTTGTAAGCAGTTGACAAGATATCAATGAAACAAGATGGATCCATCACATCTTTCTGTCATTCTTGTTCCTCTTATTTCCAAATCCATAAATGGGAATTCTTGTGCGAAATGTTCACTAGTTAACTTACCATCATCAATTGTATTGGTTCGCTTTACACGAGATGTTTGAGTTAATTTGCCATCTGACGGTAATCGTACTATCGATTGTTTATGATCTCGATTTGAAGTAATATTCAGTCCAGAACTATTGATCTCACTTGTAGCACTGAAATCTCTATTTTGTCGCATCGGATTCTAAATGAAGATTTTCAAAAAATCATGTTTCAATTACCTTTTACGTTAATGAATACAACATATTCTATAGATAATAAAAAGCTTAAAACCCGAAGCGAATACCAGCTATTCATTTGTCAACATACCTTATGAATTTACTTTAAGCTCACATACTCCACCGATAATCTACAAATGGCTAACTTGAGGTTTATATCTCCCTAAACCGTCATGGACAGACAGCATTCTCGTGTAGGATTACTTGTGTGGTGTAAAATATGCAGTCAACAACTTCAGTTCATTATCCTTATTAAGATACACAAATCTAATCCCTCAATAATATGGTGACAATATCTACTTGACCATAGTGAATGCTGTATATGTTTGGTTTAGCTGTCAATCTATAAAAACCAGCTGCTTCAAGTTCAGCGTGTTCACTCTGACGACTACTTACGTGAAAATATTCATGAGTATTTGCGTGGTGATCTTCCTGATTGTGGTAGACTGGACCATACAACAAATTGTGAGGATCAAGAAGAGGATCATGCGCTGTTTGACTGATGAAAAGACCCTACATGATTTGGATTTTGCCAACGATGATGATGATTTATGTCTACTGTATTGTCACACAAACTCGGAGATCTACAGGCGAAAACTAACAAGTTGACAGAAGACGCTGTGTAGCGAAGACGGGATTTCCTTCTGGTGAACGTATAGAATACAGAGATGATGAAGATATTGAAGCAACAACAAGTATCAATCACCATCAACGGGAGAAATCTAAACGAAGTTCTCTTTCACCTACCTAGGCAGTATCGTTTCAACCACAGGCGACACAGGCACAGATGAGGGTGTCAAAGCCTGCATCGGAAAGTTAGCAAGACAGATCCTCCTGCATTAATCTGCAATCAGTGTGGAGATCTACCACACTCAGCATAAACAACAAGATCCGAACTGTCAACACTAATGTCAGTCAAGTCAGTGCGTTATCAAAGGCATTTACAACAAATTACAAACATACATGAAGGGCTGCCGCCTATGTTCCATACTCAAGACCAGATGGCCAGAAAGAAAAAGCAAGAAAGAACCGTTGGAACGAACCAACCAAGAAGTTATCACCCAACAGAAATGCAGAAGAGGAAATTGGAGATGGATTGGATTGAACATACACTGAGAAGACCGTTTGGGGAAATGACGCACCAGGTCAGGCTCTTGAGTGGAATCCAGATGAGAAACGACGAGCTGGGCATCCCAACTGACGGTAACATGGAGGAGAGCGTATGAGGAAGAAATGAAAGGTTATGGGAAGTCTTGGAGCCAGGTTAGGAAGACTGCAGAGAAGAGAGTGAAATGACAACGTGCTACTGAATCTCTATGCTCCACTTGGAGCCCAAGGGATAAATAATAATAATTTTCGAGGTAGATATAAGCAAACTGGAAATCGTCATTTAAACTGAGGTACCATTTTGCAATAAATACTATTTTGCCTTGGACGTATTTTGTTTTCGTTGCATTCATTTAACTTCCGTTCAGAACTAAAATTAAAACTATTTCAAAATGATGGAGTGATGAAAGTCTTACGTCAGTGCAGGGAAATGATGAACACCAGTATTAGATTTACAAAACTGTAAATGTATTATGTTTAATTATTTATTCGTGGCGGACTACAAAATTTACTTGCTCAAAATCTTACAAGAAACAGTTTACTGACGAAGTAACTTTTTATATCGCTATATTTTTCTTCACAGGAACCGTAAACCCAAACAAATCTAGTTCGCGTTCAGTATCTCCATATATGACTGTTTCTATTATCATAATATTTGCTTTCCTTTTAATCTTATTTCCGAAATACATTGATGCTTTCTCTTAATGTGCCATCCTAATGCACGTGATATGTCGAGTTTTATGAGTAAAACAAAGAAATGGAACTTTTGAACTTAGTAGACCCTTCAAAAGTACTGATGAAATATAACACCCAAGAAAGCCATTTCTTTAGCTTATCTATATGCTGAAAATGAATGAATAAATGTGCTCAAAGTGCATACTAAAAAGTAGACCAAGTTAGCAAAACATATCAGTAGTGGATCATAAGGTAGATAGTGTAATAACAAAAAGTATTTACCATGCTTAACTCATTTATATTTAGGATGTAAATCAATAGAAACATACAGCATAACAGATTTTAGTATACTAGTTTTAAGTGTACTTAATCTACCACAGTGATAAGAAGGGTGACTTCTCAAGCTCCCTGCCTTAGCAACTGTTGAAGTAACGAATCAGGCTTAGCTGTTTCATCTGAAATAAGCTTTGGTAAAATAAAGAAGTTGAAGTCATGTCGTCTGTTGCCACAGTGACCTTTAGAGTCACTCATCAACAAACCAATCATGTTTTTTTAAGGTGTGGTCACTATGCCGCTACTCTGGAATCAAGGGTAGAACAATTTTTAATCATCCGAGGAAAAAGTTATATGGCTTCCAAGGTACCTGTTTTAAACATTCTTTAACCGAGGAAGGATTAATTAGGTAGTCTTTTGTGATCTTTTTTCAAATTGTCGTTCACAGCTAGTAAAACAAGGCAAACTGAATTGGGATATCGTCTATAGGACAGAGTGACTTCTCTTGTTGCTACGTATACATCTTATTGATGAATCTCAATAAATACAAAGTATTTGTAATAAACTTTGAACCGAAAGCACTTAACTATTGAATCACTAATAATCTTCCACTTGTTGTTCATAATCTTTAGGTTACAACCTCTCTGAGTTGTAAAACATATTCACTAAGCTGGATAGCTTAAGTCATTGGTAACAAAATTTATTTATAATGACACGAAACCTCACATAGGCAACATCTAAATTAATATTTTTCTTATCACTTCATTCTACGATTAAACTGAAACAAACTTTCTATTGTGCATATATTTTTGCATAAGCTTTCGGCAGACTTCAATTTCAAACAGTTTTTAGTGTCACAGTATATATATATGCATTGAACATTTTTAAGCCAAATTATATTAAGCATGAAATCCTTCTGCATTCAATAATATATCCGATATTTCAAAGGAGTTTTCAACCCATATCGAAGTCAGACGGAGAACCTCTAGAAGCGAGTGCATGGCACAGCTGCTTCTAGCCTGAGACTTCACAGTAGTGCTCATTCACAACACTATGTAATATCAAATCCAGGATCATCAAGTTACTATTCAACCAATAGATAGGGATGCAATGGCTTATATTCCCCAAATTTTCGTTAATTATCATTGTTATTCGTATATACAATGGACATCATTCAAAGGTATCAGTTAATATCTGTCCTCATTTTCGAACTGATACCACCTATAGGTCATAACTTTTAGTTAAAATCTTAGCAAATCCATTTGGAAGCAGGAGAGAAACGGGTACTGGATTGTTGATGAAATTATTTAAGATAATTTAAAGCTTTCATTGTTTTGTATAGCAGTACTTGCATAAAAAGAACTCAACCATATAATAACATAATTCACAGTTTAATGAAAGTCATAGATAAATGTTGACAATATGAACAATGATCAAACTGTAGTCATCATCAGATCATACACAAATAAATAGTGGATATATACATATACATTTATGGGTATAATACCGCAATGAAATGAAAAAACAAACACACTATTGAAATGATATATGAAATACCCATAAAGTTAAGTTAAAGTAACTTGAAAGAAAGGGCTTAGAAATATTTTACTAAAAAAAATTAAAGGATAAATTTGATTGCAGTTTAGTAGAATAGACTGAAAAGATATGCCTACAAATGCACAAAAATCAAATTAGTCTGTTCTTTGAATAATGTTTTATTAAAACTTGCAGAAATTAACTAATTAACTCTTATTATATAATTATCAGTTGAATTACTGATGGATAGTAGCTAGCAGTGAAACCCAGAATGCTTGTTTCATGCTATTTATGACTTCTCAGCTGGATCCACCTGCCTCCTAGTGAGTGCTGGTGTTCCAGGTAAGAATCGGAACTGGAAATGATAACTTTAAACTTCCGGGGCAATACTCACTAGGTCACTAAGTCATGATAGTGACGGTTAATATAAATAAAAACAAATAATTAGAAGTGTTATTGAAAAACTAATTGAAAAATAAACAAACAAATGTTTACATTGATTCCTTACTAGAAGGTAACTTATTTCATATAGTCTAGTCTAAGTGCTAATCGAATTCTATCGATCATTTTGTAATATGATCACTAGGCTAAGAGGCTCACCATCGCAATGCACTGAGATGGACAGAGGCAATCGCAGGAAGCCGTTTATTGTATTAATAAATTAAACTCACGTGTACTTCATTTGTTGATTCATTGGCATTTTTCATTAACAGAGGTTCAGCTTTTGAACTGTAGGGTGTATATGAAGCTATATTTTTAGTATCATTTTCATTTTTATCTTCACAGTTATACTTATAATCTGTAGGACGTAATGGACGAAATAGTGCACCAGCTACTGCACAATGAAAATTGACACCAGCTAATAATAGAATACAACCACGCCAAGTATAGGATTGAATAAGAGATGGAACAATTAGACTGTATAGTACACCACCGATTCCACTACCAGCCATGACAATCCCAGTAACAGTAGCTCTTTTTTTCACAAACCATGAAGTAACAATTGTAGCCGCTGGTAAATAAATGCATCCATAACCAATGCCTAAAATAATTATAAAGACGATGGGTATTTAAGGTGCAATAAAACGTCATTTAGATTTGTGTTACTTTATTGAAGTCAATTTTGTAAGTTTAACTAAATGGTGAAGTAATATACTCAAAGTATACTATTGTTATGTATACCATAATAAATATGTAATGGTAATTATTAAAAGAACATTTGTAAAACTTTTCCATTCAAAGTAGACATCTGTGTGGTTAAACAAACTGATCTAAGTGTAATAGGATGATGATTGTTATTGAAATAAAAACATAAATCAAGATAGAAAATAAAGCAGCAGTCTCTACATTACCAGCCGTATTTGTACTCTACGAGGCCTAACTGCTGATCAGGTATCAGTTTCACTTTTATTCCTGATGATTGCAGTTTTATAGACAACAAGTAATATTATAAAGGAAGTCTATTGATAAAATCCCAGTAAGGTAGAAAAATGAATTTTTAATGTTTTGCAACTTCGTACAAGTTGAATTGTCAAAGAATAACATCTGTACAAGTTAGCGCATGTCTAAATGGTATTTTCTCACACCTTCTCAACAATTCAGATGAGCACACATATTCACATCTACACCTTGAATGGACGAACTTATTACAATAATATCTATCCCCATATTGTTATCATCATGTTTGACCTGATTTGTCTTCATTCCCCCTTTAGACATGAGATGACTTGTACAGGTTCTGAACTGTAACAAAGAAGTGGCCTCCACAAGGTGGTGAAAAGTCAGAAATCTTTAATTCTAGCTCATCATGGTCTAAGAGGTAAATTTTTCCTCAACACTCCATATACTGAATGCTTAACATATTCATTTCTATCAGGTTAAATTTTGATCCTGAAGTCTATAAGAAGAATATTCTTTTCACCTAATGGTTATCAGACTCTACAGTTATTAAATGGAATTTCTCAGCGTATGAACAGATCAAGCTTGAGACAAATAAATTTTCAGAGTGAAAATGCCTACACGGCTAAGACCAATAGCCAAAGATTTTATGTCATGTCCCAACCTGCCAAAACCTATCCTTTTTTCAGCCTGAACATACTTCAGCTAGCATTGCTCGACAAGGCAGACGGTGAGTAGGTATGCATAACACATACTGCACCCACCTCAGTAGTTGAAGGTTCACAACTTTATCAACTGACTTCCTTCCCCTCTTAAAACTCTCCACCTGATTTCTTCATTACTGACCTACTGACTTCACAACATATTGTCTGTGTTAGGAAGGCAATGGTGGTCAAAAAGATGAAGCCTTCTCATGTCCACTAACTTTAATGGCATTATTGCAGTCATACAGTAGAACAGAGTGAACTGCGGCGCAGTACAGTCTATCCCTAATAGACAGTCAGATATCGTGGCAGCAACATATATGTCGTAGGTTGGCAAAAGCCAATCGAGCTCCTTGTTTTCATGCAGAAATTTCGTAGGCCACTAACCGACCAGAGCTGAACCGACTTCCTAGGTAAATGAAGTAGTCAACGTACTCAACCACCTGGTTCTCCATTGGTAACAGGGCCCCACTGAGGACCAGTCCTGGAGCAAAACTTTTTATTTGGGTGGTGAGATACGCATCCCAATCATTCTCATGTTGCAAATCAAGATACTCAGAAGACTTCATCTTGTCAGGATCCCTACCTAAAGGGACTATTTCTGGGTAGATCTACTAAAAATTTTTCTGTGAAGTCACATAACTAGGAGAAATCTATAAGTACTTTTATCACAAACTTGGTTAGGGACTAAAAGAATGGATATTCTAGGCGTACACCACTCAATGTACATATCCCACCTATGAACTCACCATAGGCTCTAACACACTCACAGGTGTTCTGTTACAAAGCCTTCAACGGAGTGATGCAATTACTCGGTACATCTAAACAAAACGTCTCCATCGAAGGAGTTAAATGACCCGTTCAGGCCGAGAAATATAGTTAGTATCAGGTGTTGGTAAGTATGCCAGTGCTCCGAAATCTGGAAAACTGTGAATATCTCGTAAATATGCCAACTGCTAGGTCTGAAGCCTACTTGGTTTCCTCGTGTCTGCTGTTTCCGAGTTCCACTCAAAAGTCTAATTATGGTAGAGCCTAGAATCTTAGACAATATACTCATCAGACTCATTCCCCTATAGTTATCGCCAGAGATTTTTCTCCTTCTTGAAGACTAGCACAGAGTGTCTAGTGTCATTGAATGTGTGACCAAGACAGCGAATGAAATAAATAAGTGATTTTGATTCTGAGTTGAATCCAATTCAGTCTCCTGTAGTGCCAAGCTCGACTTTCTAAGTGCATCAATGGGATATTGGATTCTATCGTTCGGAATACAGAAAATTCCTAAACCCCCATTCAGACCACAAAGCGAGATAGATTTACTAAACGCAGATTCACCAAATGCTAGAGAAGATGCCCCCTGATCACCTTGACGAAACTGTTAAGGAGTCCGAGTCCAGATGTATTCATCAAAGAGGAGCAGAAGACTGCTGGCAGAAAGCAGAATGTGTATAAAATTCTGCAAGTTTGGATAATCCTTGTCTGAAACTAGACAAAGGTGAGTAAATAAACACTCCTACAAACGGAAAGCAGAAAGTTTCGTGCAGTTTGATAGTAAGTAAAGTCAACAATGGCCAGGAATCGAATCCCGCCTAACGAAACAGCCATAAATTAGGCTTAATGAGGTCTTTGTTGGAATCTTCTTCTTGAAATGACTCCAGTGTAATTGCAAGAAATTAATAAGAATAGATATGAAATTAGTTGGTGATAGTTGTTCTACTAAATACCTAAATCTTAACTTTGTGTTAGGTTCTAATTAACAGTGAGATCAGCTGTTGCATCAGGCATGTAAAGTCTTTGTCTCCAGTCTAACAAGTAGGCCTGGTTATCTGAGGACTAAATAAAGGAAATAGACGTTAAAATGACAAATATCCTTCACTTAGTAGGTTTTCGGATAGTTGACCATTAACAGAAAAAGTTACCATGACTCATGTACAACTTTAAAAGTTTGTCACACCAGTGCTGGTGGTTTTGAGAAAAAAATTCAGTGTTAGAGGTTTCGGTGGTGAACTCAGATCGGTTATCAAAGCCATCACGAAAATGCAGTTTATTCCTTGTCTGGATGAAACACTGTAGTTATCAGGATACAATTTACTTCGAAAGGAATATACAGTTCAAGGGTGATGGAGTAGGGCAGTATCTGAAGAATGATATCCAAGTACTATCCACCATTCTTGTATCTCATAATAGTGGAACCTATGAAGTCATAAGCAGCAACATCTGTTTACAGTGATGTACAGCTGTTGTAGGCGTGATCTTTTGCAGTCTAATATATAAGGTTGATAACTTCATACTACAGTTTATCGCAATTAGGGCAGAAAAAGTTCCCGTCTCATGATAGATTTCCACTTATCTAGTTTAAACTGAATTGAAATATCCGCAAAGGGATCCCCTAGTTTATTCGGCAGTAGACTACTTCTCCCTGTTATGGGAAATGCTTTTATACGGCATGTCTACAACGCTACATGTATTGGTTTTAGTTAACTATCTTTCTTGCTAAATGTTGTGCTAAAATATGAGGTGAATGGTAAACCCTACCTTCATTGACAAAGACTGACCACACAGTGCTCTATTTTGAGCTGAGAGTTTGTGATACAGTCTACGACTTTTTCCAACTTCATCCGAATCTCTGGTGCTCGAGTATAATATACTTCATCAGAAGACCAGTCAGTGGATGTGACATCGTCCGACGGTAGCACGTGGAGTAATTTCAGGGACATTTGAAACTGTTACGTGGCCTTAAATACTTCAGTAACTCTCGCGTAGACCTACTAACTGTTATCTTTAGATAAGTTGGAGAGTTAAAAAGCACAACATCGGCAAAATGGATTGTAGGACCTGTTCATGACAACGAGACTTGATTAGTCTAGTATGGGATATTTTATGGTTATAATTTCTTGTAAAAGCCTGTTTAGATCTATACTGACAGACAAGAAGGAGCTCATCTTGGATTCAAACAACCATTCTAAGAGGTTATACTATTATACTGTGAGGAGAACTAGAAGAAAAGAAGATATCTCAGCCCTTTAGCTGGATAAGATTTGACGCAAATAGCTGATAGTAATACGACTAGGGTCGAGACCTTATCACAATACTTCAGCCGAGTATCCTTTGAAGTTTGCATTCAGTGTTCAGAAACTGTTTACAAAAGTGATTTCTCATGAGTGGAACCAGTGTTAATTGAGTAGGCTGCCTGAAGACTACTACAGAACTTCTAGACAGATAAGTCCTGTGATCTAGATGATCCACATCCTCAATTATTATCAGTACTTGTAGATGTCATCGTCAAACTGGTAGCTATCTTGTTTGATTAACGTGTCACAAATTCAATCAAAAGAGATTTACCACAAATTCAAGTCTATAAAACTGGTCACTGGCATATCGTGGGTAACCACTGTAAGGTTAACCTAACTAGTTTATTTGTTAGGATTTTGAAAGGACTACTTATGATGCCATTCTATAGTATGTCAAGGGGAATAAGCTTTCTCCGTGTCTAATAAATCTCATCATTCCCAGGGAAGATTGATCTGCTATCAGCAAAGTGAGTGCGTCAACTGATGTAATATTCACTGACTTCAGCAAATCTTTCGATAAGTCTCAAGGAGAAGCTGTAAGGTCTTGGAATGTAGGGTGTAGTTAGAAACTAGTTCGAAGATTTTCTTTGCGACAGATGACAGACAGTTAGGGTAAACAGTGATGAGTGAAGTGCATCAAAGTCCCATCTTAGGTCCAGTTCTCTTCCTCCTCTACGTGAATGAGTTCTTAGAACAACTAGTTTTTCCATGTTTATGTTTTCAGGCAATGGTAAACGCTGGAGACCTATTCGCAGCGATAGGGATTGAGTGCTTCTACAGGACGACCTGAATGCTCCTGTAAACTGGTCCACGAAATGAGCCTAGAAACTATTACTAACAATAGTGTAGTCATAAGAATGGGTCACGATGATCCATATGCCTTCTGAATTGGAGACATGGAACTATCCAATATTTAAGTATCATGATCATAGAATATCGGTCAACTGTAGTGTCAGTGGCAACAGGCTTTCATATCTTGTGGTTTTCGCCTATAGCAATTCAAAGCATGTTCCGCATCTTATAACCCATGCATCTAAGACCCTTTTTGGAGCATATAACTCAAGCAGCGAGCCAAAGTTTCAAACCAGAGAGGGTCAAAAGGTTAGGAACCAAGCTGTTAAAGGGCACTCCAAAGTCCTCTAAAAAGAAAGACTAGATAAATTAGGTATTTTTGCACTGTCTCACAATTATAAGTGATTTCATGTTAACGTATTGTATCTTGAATACTGATTTACGCTAGAACTCTTCCTATTTGTTCTACCTCTGAAAAACTGCTCTTCTCAGTAGACATCATCAAAAGGTTCATGGATCATGTTGTAATCGTCTAAGACTGAAAATACGTTTCTCGCTAAGAGTTATGAGACACTGGAGTTCTCTATAGAAATGCATATTGTCTTCACTTTCTGCGGATACTTTCAAAGATAAATTAAATCTTCACAATATTATAACCAGCGAGGATAGATGTAGTTCATTAATCTACTGTCCTTATTCATTCCTTAAAGACTGATGGGAAATCACTGACTCACCTCCAAAAACGCCAAAAACTACGATGAACAAATTCAAATTGTAGATAAATGTACTGCTCAAAATTGATACCGTAGAAATCACAGTCCCAATTAATACAATTTCTCTTGATCCAAATCTGTTCAAAAGAGCACTTACAGGTGGACCTATAAAAATAAAACAAAACGACAGTATTTGTTCGTTAAGAAATAGAATACTAATCTTGAAAATATTATTTAAATCAAACGTATTAAGGCTGTTCCAACTAAGGTACTGTAACTGTGAACCTCATACAGCTATTGAATGTGACTTACATTATGACCAATAATGCTTAAGTGTGATCGAGGATGGTGTACTCCGCTCAGTATGGCAATCCACAGTAATTTAATAGTGTGTTATAAAAACTCATAACCAAAATGTTTACTTAACAACAATTTGTCATTGCTTATATCAAGGTAGGGACTTATCTCACTAACTGCACATCTGACTGATAAATGTACATCTTCACTTGTTGGGACTCAAAAACCCTCACGATATGCTAATTGCTGCAAAATATCATGCTATTTGATAAATCAGTAATACATGATTCTGTATCCAAAACCAACAACAGACTGGATGCAACTTCTGATTTCCTACACCCATCTTAATCATTATTCAAGGACTCAAACGTACTGCCTTCAATGCACCAGCGCTTATTCTTGGCCACTAGCTGAGTTTGAAGGATTTCAAACAATAGATAACAAGAATAGAAAGAAAAGGAACTTTGATAATAAATTGAAACACCCTGTTAATTTAAATCAATGTCTGGAAATGAGAAAATAAAAGCAGATTTCAGTAAACTTAGAAATCTGAAAGTGTTTCACTTTTAAATACCTTAAACATTGATTCAAATTACACTGATCAAAATCCTAGGAGTAAATTTTCTTCTAAAAGTTATTGAATAATAGCAGCAGAATTACACAAAGCTTTTGAATGAACAGAACAGTACTGAATAAATGTTTGAAGTTATGAATAGAAGAGATTTAGTGTCAAAATTGAGATACATTCTACATAAACAGAAGGACAGATTATGAACTCATCAAAATTTTCCTCCTTAATTGTGAAAGTCATAATCCTTTTTTATTATTTACTGCGTAATAGCCTCAATAATGAATGAATTCTCTATCAAGTATCAGTTTTGAAAATCCTTTACTAATGCCCTTTTTTCTAACTACTGGTATCCGGCAAATTTCTGTTTATGCTGAATATGGTAACCCTCGATTAAAAATGTCACAATTAATAAAGAGAATAATTGAAATCACTCATTTTACACATTGTTTGAGCTTAATAATGACTCTCTAACATCAGTCATGCTATTAAGAGCTTATACAGTGAAATGGTGAATATCTGTAGTAATTTTTTCACTACACAGTTACAACTCAGTTATTTCCTCAGTTTTTATTATTCATTTTAATGATCAATACAAAAATAAATAGAATAGAATGAGATGGATACCAGACGTTAGTGATGATGATGGAAGTGAAATAGAACTCAAGAGTTCTCCAAAATCATAAATCGTTTACAATGAAATCTCAAAAATTCTGTCCCACTACTTTGTTTACCTTTTTTTTTATCATGCTCTCTTGATGAAGTATGAAGTTTATAAAAGCTTCATAAGACTGACGTTTATTCTTAAAAATAAAGTGAAAATAAACTTTAACTAAGTAAACAGATGCCATAGCAAATATGAAAAGCAAACATGATGCTCTTAGCCCACGTGCAACTACTCAGATCTATATTTCCCTTTCAATCATCACCCTATATCAATTTATATAACTGTCAAATCTTTTATCGTCATTATTACAGAAGCTTTGATTGCTGTTGTACAGGATTACCTCTTATATCATGGAAAATTCTCACTGCATTTTGTAAGCCATTTAGGTGAACGAAGAATATATTTTCCTATAAATTATTCCTTAGGTTCTACAACTATATGTACATAGTGAGGAATTATGCATCAACAATATTGGGATTTCGCTTATCCGTTTGTCAGTAATATCATGCAGTGGCATGGACTGGCTACTTTTTATTTTGTCTATCAGTTTCGCTACTGTTGTGGAGTCAATTACGTTGGCTGCTGCTCTCGGAATTTAATTTTCCATACTGGCGAACACCTTCTAGCGTGATTAAGGTTGTGATAATGACCATTACAAGCTCAGTATTACCACACCTGGTTGCAACGAACTATAAGGTAAATATGAATAAGGCATTCTCCATTCTATATCGGGTTTCTGTCAACTTGTCAAATGGTACCCGGCTCCGAATCCTTCCGACTGCACGAGTAGTAGCAATCATCACCGAACAGCAGAAGTTGTGTTCAAAAAAGAAGTATTGCTGCTTCAACTACAGCTGCCTGATTCGGAATGTTAAAATCCATTCATATCTTACCCTAGGTAATCTAATTTTTTAAAAGCCTACCTAAGATATCCCTTCATCTATATAATCTGAAATAATTTTAACAAATTCTCTTAACCTATTTTGTCTCCTAATATGAGTAACATTCTGTCAAGGTATTATTTCTGAAATTATCCTTCTTAGTTTATTTCATCTAAGTTTTTATAAAAACCTTTCTATTGTTTTATTAAACTATAACCTTATGGCATTACCTTGGCAGTATAACCATTTAAATAACCAATTATTTTGAATTAAATCCTAATAACAATTAACTCTATCATTAAACTTCACATAAAACTTTCCTTTATTCACCTTGACATTTGGAAAATATTATTGACAAATGGATAATATGAATCTCAATATTGTTGATGTATAATTTCTCAACATGATGAGGAAGAAGTTATCAAAAAAAAATTCTTTGTCCATACAAATGACCTCTTACATCCTATAAATAAACCTATAATTCCCTGAAAACATTTGTTATCAGTCGTCACGTCCTGAATTTTCTTGAGATATCATACATATTTTCAAGAAACTAAGAGATGTTTAAGAATGAAATCTAAAGTTGTTGTATTTTAGCTATTCACCTCATATCATCTTCATGTATAATATCAGCTGTACACTATTCCAAAATGCATATTTAGTCTACATCAGTGGGTAATATATTTAACCCATCAGTTAACCCTGAATCAGAATGCTTTCTTTGTTCGTCATTCAAATCAGTATCTTTAAAGTAAGCTTAAGTAGATCAAGTAGAAAATTAAGGAATTAAACAAGCGTGCATATCAACTGTCATTGTTAAAGAACCTTTAGTGAAAAATATTGATAAACAAATGAAAAAAAACCGTCAAATGACTTATGTGGATTTCAGGTTGATTTTCATCACTGACTGACATCAGTTGGAGAACCATTTAAAATCCGAGATCACTAAACATCTGTTTCGTCTTATTATAATCCCGCTAGGGCTGGAACCAAGGACCCTCAGGTTCCGCGATCAGTACGTTCCCAGTGAGTCACTGGGTGGGAAATCAAACAGTTTCATTGTTTCTCCAAGTGATGTCTGTCCATGATGAATACCAACCTGGAATTAATAAATAAATCCCCATAAACCTTCACATTGAATCATATACACTTATTATTATGCTTTCTTAATAAACTATGTAATTTGCACTTTGCTTTAACTACTGACTAGGTTTTCAGCCATATGACGTATATTAAATTTCCATTATACTTGTAGATATGTTTATAACCTAGGTTGCAACAGCTGATCAGAAATGATCTAAATAAAGGGGGTCCACTTTGTTCTGCCTAAATAATTTTTCTGTTTCTGCTCACTTTGATGGAAAAAAGGTTGTGAATGAAAAATGTATGTTTAAACTAAAAATGAAGAGATATACCAAGTGAACTTTTCTTGTATCTAACCAAACTCAGGTAAACATGTATTTGATATAGCTCATGGTTGAGTTTAAAACATTTTTTCGGGATAAAGTAGTGATTCTTAATTATAGTTGACAGCACTATGAATTATGTGTTAGTCTTACACTGAATTTAAGCGACAATCACGTCAAACTATATCTCTCCATTTGTCTCGAGTTAATGTTGACTAGGAAAAAAAATTACTGAAGTGAAATTGAAAGAAGTAATCAATATCATCGATTTATTACTACGGGACTCTTAAGATGCTTCGAAGACTCTTTTTGCTAGGCACAAACAATACCATCAGCTTTTACCTTAAAATTACTAGCTAACACGATTGGAATTTTAAATCTTTCCTGTTGGCAATACTCACGTTTTACTTCATTTAAAATCTAGTCAATTATCGTGAGAACGAAAAACCGACCGACAACTTTACTGCCCATTACAAGCACTATGTATATGCCTACCAAAAAGATCCCAGACAACTATCATCTGAAATTCAAAAAACATAACAATCCCTCAAACGCGAGAATCAATCTACTACCCTGTTGGTTGTGAATTCCGAAATTCACATTAGAGCGTTGAAAGGGGATAAAAAAGTGAAGAGAATGGCAAATTTAATAACAAGAGAGACAGCAGAATAAAAGTGGACGGTCAATGAAGATAATAAAATATTTTTGGCAAAATTACTTTTAAGTGAAGATCAGGATTCAATATGTGTATACCATTCGGGCTGAATTTCCTTTATACTGGTCAAAATTTGGAACTATTCTTTTTCGGTTGTCTACTGGGATCTCCTAAGGAAATTTAAACATCTACATGATGTTCACGTCAGGAGTCAGCTAAGATAGATTTATTAAGTTAGTGCGACTAGCCTGAGGTGTCGTACATCGCACTTAAGCTGAATCGCATTGTGTTTTGAAACTTAACCGATAATACGTCCGTGTAATACATGTAAAAACTGTCTAAATCACAAAACACTAATAGATTAATCAATTTATACATTTTATCTTATAATTACTGGATGTCCAATTTCACTCGTTATTGAATTATTCCGAAACAATTAAGTTATGTCACGAAAGCAGCAGCTGTTAACTATCAGTAGATTTAGCATAAACCACATTTCTTGTAGATATATTTAACACGGTGGTACTGCGAAGACGTTGCAATGCAATCGAAAAACTTGATGATTACTTTGAGATGAATATGAACAATAAATTTTGCTCGAAACGTCACCAAATAAATTATATTGTATCATTGTGTGCTACATCAAATAAACAGTATAGTATGGAAATCAGAAGACAACTGAATATTGCAT